TTCATAATCTGCTATATACGTATACGAATTATACTATAGCACATTTCTAATAGGTTTAACGAATTACATGTCATTTATTTGAATTCAAATGACTTAGTATTCACTAAAAAGATGTAATTTTTTAAAAAAAGAAAGTTTTTATATGGATTTGAATGATTGTTTTAAATTCTTAGAATTTTGTGCCTTTGCAATGTACCTAAGTTAGTAGCGAGCGAAGCGAGCTTGGTTTGCGAGGCAAACCATATAAGATTGCATAGCAATTTTTGGGATTTGGCGATCGTTAGTGAGCAGGGGGCACAGCCCACTAGTATGTTTATAAAGAGCTAAGAATCATATCAATATTTTATTATAGAATGCCAAATAATGCAGCACCAATACGAGCAATTTTTATTTGTAATAAACGGGCGAAGAGTGTCTGAATAAGTGTTGAATTAATGTCTTCTATCGAGAAAATCATGTTTCATAACAGATTTAAAAAAATTATGAGATTTTAATAATAGAAATAAAAAAGAGATTATTGTTGATACTGTTCAATAATCTTTGAAATTGTAAGTCAAACTTTACATAACAAAACGTATATCCTGATATTTGCTTTTTAGTTTAATAAATTTAATTTTAATTGATTTGACTAAGGCTCCACGAATCAAGAATTTTAAACAGCTGAAAGATCTATTGCTAGAGACAGGAGGCGTTGGAGGGATATGCTAGAGACCATAAGTGCCCAAAGGCACGTAGAGGATAAGTAAGTAAGTAAGTAAGAAAGAAACACCTATATTCTGAAAGCAGTAAAAATTATGAAGTCAGTGGAGACAAAACGGGCAATATTTTCACGCTAAAACCGCGATGGCTCAGGGGATAGAACGTTCTAATGAAAGGACCCAAGTTCGCATAACAGCGATGAATTTCTGATGTGAATTCTGATCCCAGCTCGCACTGAACACAGTGCTGACTTATAATATCCTTAGTGGTAGACGGATCATGGGATAGAATCCTTTGGCCGTCGGGCTAATCGCCGGAGGCTTTCGTGATTTTCCTCTCCTTGCAATCCAAATGTGATTTAATTTCATCAAAAAGAGTTTGTCCCAATGCTTGTTCAAGGAGTTTCCTTGCATTCTGGGTTGGTTTCAAAATTACAACGCTACGGAGTTGAACATGTTGAACATTGATAGTCGCAAACTTAGAATCGGGTCGGCTGTTCAAGTCCGGTAATAAAATAAAAAATTTTCATGCCGTGAACCAAAAAAATTCCATCTGTAATTGCGCTTACAAACTCGAACTGTTCAACGAAGTTCATTCAAAAAAGGTTGAAATTAAAAAAGGATAGAAGTAAGGATACACAAGCGATATTATCACAGTAAAATTCCTAATTAAAGAAAGTAATTATCACGGCTCATTTTATCGAGAGAAAAATCTACCGCCTCAACTATCTCCTTCCGTCAGAACAAGTGATTAAGTTTATGCTGAAAAAAGCACTTGCTGACCGTAAAACAAGCAAAATCGTGGGTTAATTTGAATTTAAGGAGTTATGAGTATGGACAGTGGATGTAATTGAATGATTACAAGGAAATAACAACAGTTAGAATTTTAAAGTTCCATTTTGATACAATTTATGCGTCATTGTTGGGTTCTCATATAGATCTGAGAAATATTCAACAAGATTATAAAAAAAATGATTCATTGACTGATTTCATTGATTGCTGACACTGAAACAAATAAAATAGTGGATTACTTTGAGCTCAAGGAGTTATGATTTAAGACAGTGGATGTAATGGAATGATTAATCGGAAATGACAACAATAAAATTTTGAAATTCCATTTTGATGTAATTTATCCGTCATTATCAGGTTATCAATAGACCTGAGAAATATTCAATGAAATTATTGAAAAAGGATTCATTGATTGCAAATTTTCTTTACATTTCTTTATATCTTCATTTTTCAAAATTTCTTTAAATAAAAAGAAATACCTATTATTCTCAGTAAAGCATCTTTTATCCATTACTAAATAATATCTTTAAAAGAATACGTTTTCTTGGCTATTCTTCTGAAATTCCCTAATGCACGAGTGTTTACAAATGCTTTTATAAAATAATTTTATTTAATTTTATGTTTCAAATGTTCTGCGAAAAAAAAGCGTAATTTTAAATTATTTTGTCTCTCATACTTTAAATATCTTTAAAAAGAATAGAAATGAGTACAACTTGTTTTTAGTGTTATTTTTCTATTATTTATATTGTAGTTGCAGCAAGTATTTTCATTCAAATAATTTTGAAATATAGTTATCGAAGATATGAATTAAAAATAATAAGCAAATTATAGTTATTAAAATTAAATTTGTTATTACAAGCAAATTATAGTTAATAAAACTATAATTTGTTAATTATAACTGTAAGTATCAAATTATAGTTTTAAAATACTTTTAGAAATAAGTACTTACGTTTCGTACTGCTTGCTCTATTTTATTTTCCGTATTAAATATCCAGGCATGTTCTATCTTCCTCTGGTAATAAATTTTTAGGTTTTTGAAATCAACCTGTATGGAAAATTAAGGATTGTTAGCTTAATATAAGTCATTAGTTATAAAAGAGAAGTAAAAGACGAATATTTAAAACGTTAGAGCCATTTTTTTTAATGACTTCACTCACTTAAAATGAAGGAGTTAATTTCCCTTCTCATGAAAAAGTAAAATTTTTTGAACTTAACTTTAGTTGAATACATACTCTTTCAGTCAAATATTTTTTGTGATAAATCTAACTTGAGTTACAGATATTTAAACGATACTTGAGTTTTTTTGTTTTTTTTTTTTTTTGCTCAAGCATGATTTGGTGAGTAGCAACATACCAGATAATAGATACTGTTAAAAGTAAATTCCATTTATTTACTATTTAATTGTGCGTGAGCTATAAGTTAAAATTTTTCTCATTTTATTTTGAAAAAAACGATCTGAATTTCGTGTTGCTATGACGATATGATGGAACATCTTGTGTTAATAAAAGCGTTATGTTTTCTTTCATAAAATGTTTATTTTAATTGCGAAGAGGACTACAGAATATTAAATATTCTGCCAGAGTCTCGCAACAGAGTCAGACGCTATTCTCGCTTCGATTTTATGTTTTGTTGGATATTTAATATTTACTTGCAATTATACCTTTGAAATTTTTAAATATGGAGGAATTTAAAAAAATCATCGTATTAGAAGTAGTATTTCTGAAAAAGATGCTATTTTACTTTTGGTAAATAAATATATTTTGTTCTAATTTTTAAAACACTGTTATTTTCAATATGTTATATACACTTTCCATTTAAATTGACTGCGTATTTAGCATTTTTAAATAAAATACTAGCCATTTACGTTCTTTTTCAAGAGCGATTTATTAAAATTATTCATAAAAAAAAATGTTTTAGTTTATAAGTAGAGCCCTACAATTTACGTAGGAAATGTAAAAAGCCTGGTACAATCCTAGAATAACCCACTCATAGGGTGATTTTTTGAAATCTCGCCAAGTTGGCGATTATTACTTGAATTATGGTCGTCTTTTATTATTAAAGAAGCAATTTAAATCATTAAAATTTATTAAAATGTTTTTAATAAAATAAAATAAAAATCTATTTACCTTTACTGTGATGAAACAGATCTACCAGAAACCTAATTTGGCGGGATTACAGAAAGTCGCTTGGCGAGATTTCAAAAAATCGCCAAGGGGTGAGCTATTCTAGGATCCACCCAAAAGCCTTATACTTCAAGAAGAAGAAACAGGTATGTGACCTATGAAGTCAGCACCAGCTAATATTTATCAGCAAAATGGCTTATTAAAGTTGAGCTAAGTTTCTCCACATAACTTGGAACGTTAACTAACGATAAGCTGATTAAATACAGAACCGTATTGCACATTGAATTAGTTGAAATATAATTCTTCCTTGTCTACTTCTTTTAATTAACTTAGATTTATTATTTGTTCATATATTTTAATATAACCGTGATATATTTTTGTTTTTGTACCTGGGAACTTCGATCCATAATTAGTTCGTTATTGTTTCACATGGCTTCGTGCCTGTCTTTGTGTTAAGTCTCTGTGTAAATATATATAGTGAAAGAATTGAAATCTTTCAGAAAGAATCTTTGTGAAAGAATTTTGTGTCACTTAAGAGAATTGATACTTCACGGTCTTGGCTCACTCCAAGTAGAATGGAAAAAATAGTTGGTCACGTAAACAAATGCCATTGTTTCAACAACCAATCAGTATCGACATACCCCCATTACGTCACCTGCAGGTATCCCATTGTCACAAAATCGTCGATAATTTGTATAATTCTGGAAAATGTTTTTATTTTCCACTTAAACTTGACAAACAAGACAGGTAAAATTCAATTTACTGTAACTGATTTGCAATTGACTGCAATAACTGAGTAATTTTTAATGACATCTAAATAGTTCAAAAAAAGTGTTTTTGTTAGTAAGCAGAGCACTACAATTTGCACAAAGATTTGCGGAAATACAAAAAATAGTGGAGTCCCTCCGTGCGGAAGAAGTGAAACTTCGTAATCTGGAAATGAAAATAGGAAGGGGTAGAAATTGATTTTTAGTGAAATCATATTGTTTCTTTAAGACAAACTTTATTAACATTGCTTACAATTCACAATTGATCTCATCTTATAATTATCATTTTCGAGTGGAGAAGTATCCAAATCTATAACATTTACAATGGAATTATGATAACTAAAGTAAGATACGAAATGTTTGAGTTTTATTTTTTCAATATTTCTTGCAAAAACTGCATCAATGGTAGTTCCCCCTTTGGTTGTTGGATCATTCCTACCATTTATCATTTCCAATCCAAATTTGTCTTTAAGGAAGGTTAATAATGTTTCAGCTTCAGGTAACGAGAAATTCACATTAAAATCTCCTGCAAGGATCACAGGCCGCTCACAATAATCAATTTCTTCACCAGTAACGTCTGCCAGAGCTTGTGAACCTGCAGTGGATAGTGGCAATAAAGATTTTGCAATAAATAATTTAATATCCCTCATGGCTGCATTTGGTGAAATATAAATGGCAATTAGAAAAGAGAAAACCTAACAATCAATTGATATTCACAAGAGACGTACCTTGACATAACCTTAAATCCGTCGCATTGTCCGTGGGATTGTTTTCACTCATTTTTTACAATTGTTATCCACTAAGTTTGAAAATAAAAAATACTGCCCTATTAAATTATATGTGTATCAAAACAAACTAAAAAAATATTTATAGAAAAACAATACTTTTATTATTTTTATGCTAGTGAGAACCAAAACAATATGGAAATGAATGAGGGAAAACTGGATCCTACCACGTGATTTCCCGGCCAATAAAAATGTAGCGCTAAACGTTTAACGCAACCTTGTTGGAAGTCGCATAAGAAGTATCACTTCAAAAAAAATCATAATCATAGTCAATAATTTGCATAATTTTTATTTTGCTGGAGAATGTCTTTATTTTCCAGTTAAACGTGGCTGACAAGACAAGTGTTCTGGGTGCAGCAGCAAAATTCAATTGACTGTGAAGTAAATGTTTCCTGTTATGACCAACTTCTTTATGAAATGCAAAGTTTGTAAGAATGTATAATTAATAAGTGAGTAATTTTTAATGACACCACTATAGCTCAAAAAAGTATTTTTGTTAATAAGTAGAGCCCTACAATTTGTGCAAAGATACGAGAGATGTAAAAAAAAACATCATAATTTACAATTGTCTGCATAATCGTCGATAATTTGCATAATTTTTATTTTACTGGATAATGTCTTTATTTTCCAATTAAAGTTGACAGATAAGACAAGTGTTCTAGGTGCAGCAGCAAAATTCAATTGACTGCGAATCGTATGTATCTGTTGCGACAAAATTTTTACGAATTGCAAAGTTTGGAAGAATGTTCCAGAATTAAATTCAGTAATTATTTCACTTAACCTTATTTTTTTGTTAATTATCACTGTGATGATGAATATGGTAGTAATGTAACGTTTTTAAAATGGTTGTACTCTTAAGTGGAATATTATAATGAAACCAAGAAGGAAAATAAGTGTTTTTCATTCAAATTATTTTTTCATTTTTAGCCATTGGCAAAATGGGTCTTGTTTTGGGTTTGATGGCGTGCGCACCTTATTTGGACGTCATCACACTTTTCAACTGTGTTCAAGAGTAATAGTAAGCAGTGCGCATGCGTTGCTATGGAGACAGTTGCTGTTTGATATTTTTTTTTTTTTTTTGAATTTTTTTTCTTTTTCTTTTTACTAGCAGGCATTTTTTATGTATTTACATAATAATATTTTAAAGTTTTTTTTTACATTCTTTTTATTATTAACTTATAATTATTGTCTTGACGGTGATTTTAATATAAATATGAAAACTGACGAAGGAAAAGTATTTTGTGACGTCTTGAAACACTTATACAGGCAGGATTTGAAAACCAATCGAACGACAAGAGGACAAACATCATTTGAAACAGTTTTTGCAACCCATGATTTAAATTGTTGTGGCGTTTATCGGAGTCAATCCAGAAAAGAAAAAAAGCATTTAACCAATGGGTAACCAATGATCGTTAAAAAGCGATCAGAATTTTTTTGAATATATTTTCTTGTTTTTAATTTTTTTTCTCATTCATCCGAAACCTGTTTAAAAATTGCCTCAATTCTGCCGCCTAATTTATAGGGCCCTATTCAGATGCACCAAGCTACTACAAATGTGATATTTTAAAGTTAGTTTTAAATGCAGCTTTTTCATAATAGTTTTATCAAATTCCTTCCTTTATACAAAATTAATGTTTTAAGTCAAAAATAAAGTAATTTTGGTGTTCATGTAAAAACGTTATTGGCAAATATGCTTACTAAATAAACAAGTGGGCGACCTTTGTGCTAAAATACAAACTAAGGTAAACAACGTTTAGGAGCACAAAAATATTTATAAATGCAGACAGCTGTTTCGGATGCTCAAAGGGCAACCTTCATCAGTGCAACAGGACAACTATTGCACTGATGAAGGTTGCCCTTTGAGCATCCGAAACAGCTGTCTGCATTTATAAATATTTTTGTGCTCCTAAACGTTGTTTACCTTAGTTTGTAAATATGCTTACTAGTTAAAAAAAATTGTGTGTATTGAAAATAAATACTTCATTAGTATACTTGTATCCTTCTTTTTAGATATATCTCCGTAAATGTGTATGCAGTTTTTTCTCCTTTTTAATTCTTTTCTCCTACTTAAATATATTAACATATTTTTATGATTTCTTGCAAAATTAAGATTATTCTTCAGTGCGTTAATTTCCGATCCTTTCCTGATTTTAATTACAATTTGTTTATTTATTATTACTCTATGCCAACCATAGACGATGCAAAAGTAAATTTTAACTTCTCCAATTTAACAGAAACGAAATAAATAAAGCTATTTATTTTTAAAGAATTAGTAAAAAAAATTCAAATTTTCTGGCTAAAATTTTCTTTTTTAATGAAATATTTAAAAGTTTTATACAAATCATAATGAAAAACATAATGATTAATATTGATTTCAGTATCGAAGGGATATTTATCATAACAATGAAAATCCGCTGTGACAAAAGAGCATTTTAAATTTAGGTAAAAGTATATTTAGTTCCTTTTACGCAGATTTGACAACAATGTCCCTTTTATACATTTTTTTCTGACGCTCCAATTACAAGCAAAGATATTTTTTGGTATTTTTAGTTATAAAAAAACTTAATAATATTTACTAAAAAAATCTGTTAGATTACCGAAATTATATTTGTACTAAAATATAAAATCCAAAAATAGTAGTTTGAAATGAAATTTTCATTCATATTCAAAGATTTATCTGCAATTGATTTTGTAAACTAAAGAAATTTTAATGATGAATAACAATTTCTCTTAAATCTAAATAATAATCAAAATATTGTTTGGAAGTTATCCGTGTTTGGAAAATTTTACCTTTAGCGCAGAAGAAGACACCGGTATTTCATACTGTCTTTTCTAACCATAAATTATTAAAATACTAAACATAATATTTTTCACTTATTTTGACCTAAATTAATAAAAAATAATAAAATACAAATATATTTAATAAAAATTCAGCGTCGAAGGGTTAAGCGTGTGCAAATATGGTAGCACTTATAGTACAGACCATATTTCTTTAAGTATCACATTAACAAAGAAAATACTAAAATTGAAATTCCGTAAACAATATCAATAAAATATTTAAGAATAGTTATTTTTATACTTCCAAAAAAATTAAGGAAAATATCTCATTAATGTTGACTAAAATTTTATAACCTGTAAGACGCACAACACTTTGTATTACAAGATTTTTTTTCTAATTGCTAAACTAATGCAAAAAAAAAGCTTATACTCCATTCTGCAGTTCTCATTTGAGTTTTAAAAAAATTATTACATCTTTTCAGTACAAATTTCATAGTAATAAGTTCTTCAGAAAATCTACACATAGGACCAGGTGTATGAAGTCTCTTCATGATTGGGAAAAATACCAATTTGCTTCCTTCTTTTGGAATCAAGTCTAATACAATATGAAGTATATGAAATGCTTATTGCAAAATGGGGATAAGCCACTGAAGTTACATTTCTGAAGTTACATTTTTGCATCTAATTGCACGTACTTATTTTATTATGTATATGCTTAAGAGTTGTATTCTATCCTCCGGTACTCATTTGAATTTTAAAAAAATCATTACCTCTTTTTGAAAATGCATCCATTTTTTGCTTTTCAGTAAAATCTTCATCATAGTAATAAGATCTTCAGAAAATCTACACATAGGACCAGCAGTGTATAGCCTCTTCAAAATTGGGGGTAATACCATGGAGATTCCTTCCGTTGGAATCAAATCTAATTGAATAAAAATTTATGATTATAAAGTATATGACGTGTTTGGGGGCAATATACTGATAAGCCACATTTCTCTTGCCCAAAAGCTTCATTTTTGCATCAAATTGTTCTTTATATTGTTTTCAAACAGTGGCAAGTTTCTAGAATTTCAGTTAGGTAGTTACAAAAAGCACAGAAACATTTTATTTTCTTGAATCCTGTGTTTTCCCTTCAGAAACATTTTCTTGAATCCTGGAATGTGGCTTAGCTTTTTATTAATTTAAAACCACGTGATTCTAATATGAGAATATCATTTCTTTCGAATGAAAATATCCTCCGCCGCAACTGAATGGAGCTGAATTCGAATATGTGAGTGCCCAAGGACGCTTGCGGTTCTTTACCCATTCATCCTAGTCTTGACCTTAGAGGAGAAATAGGGAGAATAAATTAGAGGAGAATAAATTACTCCTCTAAGGTCTTGACCGATAAGGTGGTGGGAATGTAAATGACTATGTAGTTATGTGCAATGTGGTGACAAGAACATAGCTTAGAAAATTATATAAAATAAAATTCTATTAAAATTCTTTTAGGAGTTATAATTATTGGATTGTTTTTTACACGAAAAAGAAAGATAAATAGTGATGAATAGTTTATTATTAAAAATAATAAGAACTTATTTTACTCTTTCCGAAAACCAACAGAACTTCAAATATTTAAGGTTATTTTGAATTTTTTTTTCAATGGTAGTGAGCTAAGATGGAACTTTTTGAAACAAATAGATTTTTAATAAAAATTCAGAAAACTTAAGCATTCATCTATATGACTTTACATTTGTAAAAATTACTCAGTGGTGGACAAAATCCCTTTAATTCTAATTTATTAAAACATAAGTACATTGCCCTTGCTATAGCTAGGAAAATATTTGCAGAAACTACGAAGAATCCGTAGTAGTTGGAGTCTTTGCAGTTGAGTTTACTACCATTTTTTTTCTTTTTTCCATCTTACTGTTAACACGGCAATTTTATACGACAAGTTTTCATTTTCTGCTTAAGTTGCTATGTATTGATTGCGATACAATTTTTTTTCATTTATAAGCACAAACTAGGCCACCACTTAATATTCGAAATTATAATAGTTAGCACCCTAATATATATATTTAAATTTTTGATGTATAATTCTGCCGAAAACAATGAAAAATGAATATTGTTTAACAAGGATAGAAATCTTCCCCAAAAAAAATAATAATTCCAGCGGTCATGCAATATTTTTTCTTAGAGTAGTTGGAAAATTACTGAGGGACATTTTTTTTAAAATATGAANGCCAGTCGATACGAATTCCGCATCCGGTTTGCACCGACTACAGTGCTGACGTAAAATATCCTCAGTGGTAGACGGATCATGGGTTAGAATCCCCTTGCCGTCAGGCTAACTGTGGGAGGTTCTCGTGGTCTTCCTCTCCGTGTAACGCTAATGCGGGTTAGTTCCATCAAAAAGTCCTCCACCAAGGCAAAATTTCTCCCAATACTTGATCCAGGAGCTCTGGATTGGCTTCAAAATTACAAGGCTACGGAGTTGTATATTAGTAGTCGTAAACCCAAAAATTGGGTAGGCTGTTCAACGACGGTTATGAAATAAAATATATATGAATATGGAAGAGAGCAAAAACTTGTAAGAAAATAATTTCATTATTTTTTTTTGGAAAGATTAAAATATGCATGACTACCAAAATTTTTTTCCGTTACAGCAAATGGGACTGATTTTCCCCGAGAAGAAGTAAATAGTGATGTATAGTTTATAAATAAGCCGGTCAGTCGGCCGAACAGTCAGCGTGACTGACTGTGAAAACCAATGGTTGCGGGTTCGAATTCCTCTCAGGGCATGGATGTTTGTCTCTGTGTGTTGTTCTATGTTGTGTGATGTGTGAATGTGGCCCACTTTATGAACGGATCTGTGGCAGTAATATAAATAAATATAAATTGATGCAAAAAATGTCTCGATAATTTTACACGACTGCCAACTTTCTACGTTTTCTGCAAAAATTTATACTAGTTGTAGCTAAGTTTATTTTTTAATACATTATTTTTCATTCATTTAAACTTATTTTCCACACCATTACATATAAATGATTTAAAAGCTCATATGCAACGCCACTTTGTCCCAGCTCTTTTCATTTTGAAGCTTTTAAAATGTTGGTGATATTACAAAAAAATATGTAATCTTTGATTTTTAAATATCTACCACTCTAAAATATTTTGCAAAAAGATTAGCAGTTGGCAGACCTGAAAATTTCTTTGAAAGCCAAATTCCAAGCAAAAGCCTAATTTAAGCATTTTTCAGTAGTCTTAAGAAACTTTATTCATCACTAATTTATTACTGCCAGTTCTTGAGAACCATGTCATTTTAATCCCCAACAGTGCTGAAAGATCAAGCATAACAAGACTTAAAAGAGCAAAAACTAGTAAGAATATAATTTCATTCTAGGAAGATATAAATATCAAAAGCTATAAAAATTCTTTTAGGAGTTATAATTATTGGATTGTTTTTTACACGAAAAAGAAAGATAAATAGTGATGAATAGTTTATAATCAAAAATAATGAGAACTTATTTTACTCTTTCCGAAAGCCAACAGAGCTTCAAATATTTAAGGTTATTTTGAATTTTTTTTCAATGGTATTGAGCTAAGATGGAGCTTTTTGAAACATATAGATTTTTAATAAAAATTCATAAGACTTAAGCATTCATCTATATGATTTTATATTTGTAAAAATTACTCAGTGGTGGACAACATCCCTTTAATTCTAATTTATTAAACCGTAAATACATTGCCCTTGCTATAACTAGGAAAATATTTGCAGAAACTACGAAGAATCCGTATTAGTTGGAGCCTTTGCAGTTACACTCAGATGAATTAGTTAGAGCCCCTGGCTGGACTGATGCTTAGATAACCACCACACGTAAGTATGAGAGCCTTTGCTGTTGAGTTTACTACCAGTTTTGTTTCTCGTTTCCATCTTATTGTTAACACGGCAGTTTTATACGACAAGTTTTCATTTTCTGCTTAAGTTGCTATGTATTGATTGCGATACAATTCTTTTTTTCGTTTATAAGCACAAACTAGGTCATCACTTAATATTTGAAATTATAATAGTTAGCACTCTAAAATATTTAGTATAATTCAGCCGAAAATAATGAAAAATCAATATTGTTTAACACGTTGAGCGCCGCGTCAGCCATCGGTGGCAGACACTGAAATTACATTTAGGCCGCGTCAACCACCGGTGGCTGACACTGACCTTTCACATAGGCCGCGAACAACAGCTGGCTGACAGCTCATAACATGATATGGAACTATAAAATTTACACTCTTTTATGGAATTGCAGAAAATTTATTCAAAATTTACTTAATTATTGTGATTCTTGGTTTAATAAATTCAATTTATTAGGTTTTTATCCGCCACTATTTCTGAACAATTCGTAGGGTTATATAATTCACCACTTTTTTCAGATATGTCATGCTAAACCTTTTAAAAACTAGCAAAATCTGTCTAATATTTGATAATTTAATTTGTAGTTATTTACCGTTGTGGCCTGACGGGCAAGACATGTTAAAATTAGCGTGGCGCTCAATGTGTTAACAAGGATAGAAATCTTCCGCAAAAAATAAAAATTCCAGCAGTTATGCAATATTTTTTCTTAGAGAGGTTGGAAAATTCCTGAGGAATATATTTTTTTAAAATATGAATAATTTGAAATGTAAGTCACAGGAGTAGTTGCAATTGAAAAAATAAAGATATAATAAATAAATTACGAATATATATATATNTATGTAAATAGTCCCAAAGCAGCGTATTTGAAACAGCTAATATTAAGAGATTTACAGCTTCCTTATTAAGAAAAATTGATGGCAGTTTTTTTCCGAGTGCATACGATGATTGTGGTTCCGAATTACCCTATACTTTTTCCACACATAATACTCATAAAATTTTACTTACTTCTACTTGACTTGTGTGCAAACAAACCACAAAAATGAGCTGGAACCCTGAGACTGCCTAGAAGATCATTTCCCAATCCAATGACAGACCCAGCAGAGCTTATTAATGCTGCTTCTCCTCCTATATTCAAAGAAAATTTCATGTTTTAGGGGCAAAGGGAGAATAAAGTCAACCATGACCTAAACAGAAGTAACCAATGTTTTAGGGAAGTGTGCCACAATCTGGAGAACAAAAACTATGCGAGGCGACTTTCAACTTTTCTAACGTACTAAAATCCTTAAAAAAGAGGAGAAAAACGTTATTTATAGGCTTTATTTTGGAAGATAACTTAGCCAAACAGCCTGCTTTTATTTTAAAAAAATTATTTTAATCAGGGGTTCGGGGTTAAGACTTATAAAAATAAATAGAGAGAAAAGTCAAAAAGTTCTTTATTCTCTATGAATGTAATTGAGAATTCAAGTGCTTGGCATGACGCCAAACGCCAGTTTCAAGCAACCAAGCCATTTAAATTGTAAGCAGCACAGATCCACAAATCTCCCTGGAAAGAATTACGCTAGAAGTTTACTTAGACGAGTGATTCTATGGGTACGTATACTATGGGTGGAATGGGTAGTATACTATGGGGGAATGAAAACTTGCAGGATTTAAGTATTTGCTGGACCAGATGAATTTTCGCTGGTTTGATGATAAGTTAACCGCCACTATAACAAATTTCATGGATAATCTAACGTACTGATATTAACTTCTGCTATTGTTTCTTACCATTATTATTATTTCCTAATGTGACTGGCAAAAGGTGAGCACTCTTTCAAAAGTTTGAAAACGTGGCAATGCTTTCGATGCATTCGATGCCTTAAATAGTTCAGGCGATAAAGAATAGTTCTACTGCAGAACTCTTATGGCCAATTTGATGCTTGAAGAAATAGATCTAAAGATTTACTTTCAGAAAAAAGATTTGTTCTGATTTGGATTTGTTCTGATAATTGCTTTCTGAAAGAGAATTTTGCATTTCCGGGAAAATCACAGGGAATTTGTTAAAGTTAGTAAAATACCTATTATGGAGCTAGAAATAACAGTGCAATTATATTTCCTAGAATGCAAAAAATGTCACCATATTTAACATAAAATCCTAATATCAAACGGAACTTTTTTATATAGATTTTTAAGTGCTTATGTCGAATAGGTAATTCATTTTAAGGTCACTGAATTGCTTAAGTTAATTCTAAAGAAAATTTTGCCTAACAGAAAGAAAAATTTACCTGAACTGCCTCCGCACGTCCTGGTTACATCGTAAGGGTTGCATGTTCTCCCATAAAGTTTGTTATCTGTTTCAAGCGAGAAACTAAATTCCGGAGCATTGGTTAAAGCTAGAAAAATCCCACCAGCATCTTTTATAATACTCACAATCGGTGCATCTGTTTCAGCTATTCTGTCTTTAAAAATCAAACTGCCTGCAGTTTCTGGAAAACCTAGATGATTTATTAAGCTAATTATTATAGGGATTTATTGAAAAATATACAAATAGCTGACGAGTGTCAAAATATACCTGTACTGTCAAAAAGGTTATCAACAAACAATTTAACATTCAATATCTCGCTTAAAAACTTAAATTATAAGAAATATGTTTAAAAAATGAAATTTCAAATTATAAGATGATGAAATATAAAAACATCGCTTTTTAAAACATCATAATCATTGTTGAAACTCCTTTATTTAACTTGATTTTATAACCATTGCATTTAATAAACTGCACAAATATTGCCTGTACCTTAAAGAAATTTGTTTTCCTAATGATTGCAGTTTTGATGGATAAATTTAGTATAGTGGCAGACTTATTTTAAAGATTGTCATTGGTTTGAAGTAGGGATACTGCAGAGATATTTCAAACACGTATTTCGGAACTTTATTGTGAAACATTTTTAAAGTTGAACAAAAGTAACATGGCCACACTTAAAAATACATTAATTAAATCAACGTAAAATATTAAACGGCTGTTAAACTGTCAAAAAGGCTATCAACAAACATTTTAACATTCGATATCTCTCTTAAAAACTTAAACTGTAAGAAATGTGGTAAAAAGTAAAATTTCAAATTGCAGATACAAAAAGATCACTTTTTGAAACATCATAATCATTGCTGAAACTCCTTTATTTAACTTGATTTTATAACCATTGCATTTAATGAACTGCACAAATATTGCCTGTACCTTAAAGAAATTTATTTTCCTAATGATTGCAGCTATGATGGATAAATTTAGTATAGTGGCAGACTTATTTTAGAGATTGTCATTGGTTTGAAGTAGGGATACTGCAGAGATATTTCAAACACGTATTTCGGAACTTTATTGTGAAACATTTTTAAAGTTGAACAAAAGTAACATGGCCACACTTAAAAATACATTAATTAAATCAACGTAAAATATTAAACGGCTGTTAAACTGTCAAAAAGGCTATCAACAAACATTTTAACATTCGATATCTCTCTTAAAAACTTAAACTGTAAGAAATGTGGTAAAAAGTAAAATTTCAAATTGCAGATACAAAAAGATCACTTTTTGAAACATCATAATCATTGCTGAAACTCCTTTATTTAACTTGATTTTATAACCATTGCATTTAATGAACTGCACAAATATTGCCTGTACCTTAAAGAAATTTATTTTCCTAATGATTGCAGCTATGATGGATAAATTTAGTATAGTGGCAGACTTATTTTAGAGATTGTCATTGGTTTGAAGTAGGGATACTGCAGAGATATTTCAAACACGTATTTCGGAACTTTATTGTGAAACATTTTTAAAGTTGAACAAAAGTAACATGGCCACACTTAAAAATACATTAATTAAATCAACGTAAAATATTAAACGGCTGTTAAACTGTCAAAAAGGCTATCAACAAACATTTTAACATTCGATATCTCTCTTAAAAACTTAAACTGTAAGAAATGTGGTTAAAAGTAAAATTTCAAATTGCAGATACAAAAAGATCACTTTTTGAAACCATCATAATCATTGCTGAAACTCCTTTATTTAACTTGATTTTATAACCATTGCATTTAAAAAAGTGCACGAATGTTGCATGTAACTTTAAGAAATTCTTTTTCCTAATGATTGCAGGTCTGGTGGACGAATTTGTTAAAGTGACAGATTTATTTTAAAAATTGGCATTGAGTTGAAGCAGTGATACTACACAGATATTTCAGACAAATATTTCTTGACTTTATTGTTGAGCCTTTTTAAAGTTGAACAAAACTAATATGGCCATGCTTAAAAACATTTTAAGTCAACGTAAAATTTTAAACAGCTGCATCTCTTTTTAGAGATATGAAGTAAGTTTCTTATAAGGCATCCATTACATACATTTTTGTAACTATAATTAATGGTCGAACTGAGGAGCAGTTAAAAATCCAGAAACCATCCAGTTCTAACGCCAAGAAGTTCAAATTTTCAGTGAATGTATTGTTGATAAAGGAAATTTAAAAGCATTGGAAGAGATTCAAAGTTGGCGAGTTATGAATAGATAATATATCCAAAAATAAAGCCAACCCCGCATTATTAATGTTAAATTTTAAATAATTTGGCTATGCGTAAAACATCAAAAAGATTGTTAGAATTTAATATAACCCTGTAATCGAAACACTTCTGTGGTTAGAGAAATTAAGCAGCTTATAGAAGAATAAAATAAAAATTAGGTTTTGATATTCGGTTTAATAGATATAATGAGTGCATTGAATTAAAATGTTAGCTGTCACATTAATTGTTTAAAAAAGAATAAATGTATTTATATCACTTTTTATAAAAAGAAAGTGATAAATATTAAATAATTGATTTAATTTAATTATAACAGAATTAAGAATAATTTAAAATTCAAATTTATGAAATAAGACTAACATTGTAAAAGCTAGGATGTATGAAATGCCTATAAAGGCCTTATAGCAGCAATCTATTTTGTGTGCCTATTCATATAAACATTGCAATTGCACATTAAAGACACTTGTTTTTCAAATCATTGTAGTAAATCGTTAATCAGACCAGGTAAACAAAATTAGTTTATCCCGATGTATCTTGAAATAACAGTCATAGAGGGGTTTCAGCAATGATTAGGAAAGAAAAACCCATCATTTAGTTTCACTAAATATTATGAAAAAAGTATCATAAATATGCTCTAAATGAATTATATAAAAGATTTATTTAAAACGAAATATACACTCTGTGTAATTAGAATTAAGGTTACGCTATTTCCACACTTTTCCTCTCTCCATTACCATGGTTAAGGAAAATCTTGCTTTCTTCCGTTTCAGTAAGAAATGGATATAAACTGACGGGAAGAAAAGCGGGATTTTTGAGTAACATGCACTACAAAAAATTGATACTTAACTATCACGAATGTTTCTTCGTTTTTATCGAAACCTCTTACTGGTTTATGCTTCGATCAAATATTTCGTCAAAGTCACGAAGTAACTATTGTCGCATCTGCGAGGGAGCGAATTTCATCAGAATTAAAGATATATTTCGTCATCCCACTTTTTTTCAAAAGTAGTGGGCACCTTATGGACATTAATAGGCACCTATTGGGTGGATCAGCAATGCAGGAAGGACATATCAAGCAAAGCGATAAATTATCCCTATGCCCGAAGCGAGGTTCAAACCCGCATTCCTGCCAACATTCACTCTTTTCGAGAATGAACTTTCCAAGTGGCAGTAAAACAATTACCGAAAAACTATCTTCTTCAATAATATATTTATATTTTAATTTGGTTGAATTTTCTATCGTAAGAAATAATATGCTTTTATATATTGGTTGTAATTATTTATATGTAGTGGTAGTCAAACTGATTTAAAATTATTATTATAACTCAAAAAGTTTATTGAAATAACATGAATTTCTCTAGCACTTTAAATATGAAAATAAAATCTTCCGGGAAAACCGAAAGAGTTGGCAGCTATGAACCCGGAATATTCCAGATAAGAGGCCAAGTCCTTGACCTCCATACTGCCGGTCGGCTGAATTCGTCACTTTATTCGGATGGTTTAATCTTCATTTTTAGTTTCATTATTCTAGGTAACAATCTCCCACGATGCACTACGATGAAGTTTCAAGTTGAGGAAACATTTTTGTCATATATTTTAGAGTTCGCGTTTCGTCACAAATCACGTGATTTCGTGACGAACTGATTCTGAAAATTAATGAAATACTGCTCAATTATTGCTGAATCATCAAAAATGAAGATTTCTTTTCTGCGAGTGCGATAGTGCAGAGGGGAAAGGTGTGGAGAGTGGTGAATTGTGATGCCCATTCTATTTGTTAAGAGTATAGCTAAATGTAATATGTATCGTATTCTACCTTTCACTCTTAGAATACATTTAACAGTAAATGGCACTCCAAGAAGTGGTTTTTCTTCTGAAAGCTGTTCAATGGAAAATTCTCCTGATTCAATAAGATCATCCACTCTTCTTGCCTCTATAATTGCGTTATCGAAATTGTCCTGAACTACTGCATTGATATAAGGTTCTACTTCAACTATACGATTAATATAGGTTTGAATAACTTCCTCAGATTTCAGCTAAAATATTTAAAACTTTCCATAAAAAATTTGCACAAAAATAAGTCACTACAATACAAATTGCATAAATAATTCTTTTCAAGTTTTGGAATAATCAGCTGAATTTGATTTTTGAAACCGATAACTTGTGCACTGTACGCAAATTATACATCGTTGAACACAAATTAATAATGAATAAAATATACAAATTATGTTGTAATTAATAATGAATAAAATATACAATACAAATTTTACTATTCTCTTTTATTTCAGTCACAAAGCCCAAAATTTGAATACAACAGATTGTTAGGATTCTAATAAGTAATCTTTAAAAAATAAAACGCATTTAAGTAGTTGTATCAACCGATTTCTCCCAAATTTTATGTATCTTGAATTAACTTGATAGGATTTGGAGCAAAGTACCTGCCCGCGAAGCGGGCATCTCACTTCTTCATCTGGTTGTTATGATGATAGTTGTGACTTGTGGCATGGGTAAATTTTATGTATCGTATTTTATGTTTGGTAATAAAATTTTTATTCCTTATAATCTAATGGTTTCACCCGATATTGAAAATAATAAAAAAAAATATTAATAATCACTTAAAGTAAAATTTTTAGAGGATGTAAAGAATAAATATTCTTCCCGTTGGATTGGGTACTATACCATGGAACTTTTACTGTATATAGAAACATCCTTTGATTTCATTATAAAGTTTCAGAGATACAATAAAAAATTAAGAGAAAAATTAACATGAAAGGCATAAACTAGAGATGTACCAGGTGCAAACATTTTTCTGGGTCCGGGTTCGTCCCGGTAAAATCATCTGGCCGGTTCGCGAATTTCCAATCCAGTGGCCTGTTTGAAAATTCACCCAATCCCCTGTTTGACATTTTGTTAAATGAAAATAAAATGAAAAAAAAAAATTAAAGAAAAAAGGATCACAAAATTGCTTTTAGTAGAGTGTATTTTTATAACGCAAGAAGATGAAGATTTTTTATAACTTGTTAGTCTTATTTATCATAACTAAATTTTAAAAAAAATATTAATCGATTCAAATTTTATTTTTAGATTATTAAAAAAAATGCCTGAAAGCAGATCTAAATACGATTCGAAATGAAAAAAATTGTGATTGCCGCAAGGCGATCACAGGCTACCCATTGGCAAAATGGTAGTTGTCTAATTTTTTCTGGAATAGAAACTTTATTGTGTTCTCATCTTGGACATCTTTAACTGTTAATCCTGGACTGCTCGGTACATAATTTCGCAGACAGATTTAAATGCAGCTCAGACACATTCTGTGAAAATTCATTTGATGACGGAATAGATGATTCTATAGCCGTAATTTATAGTCGTCATAGTAAATTTGAATCCTAAAAGATAAAGTAACTTCTATATCAAACAACAAACAAGGGGATAATTTACTTTCTTGAAAAACTCTATGGTTCGGATAATTGGAAGTACGGGAACTTTAAGCCAGTCTGGTTGAAAATTGAATTTATTGATCTAATGAGTCAGAAACACGCTTTCTAGTAAAAATTTAGTATCAGGTTACCGATTTTATATTTTATAACCGCCATTGAACAGTCTATCCAATTTTGAGTTTACGATTCTGATGTTCAACTCCATAACCTTGCAATTTTAAGCCCAATCCATGCGAAAAAGGAACTCCTGTATCAAGTATTGGAAGAAATTTGCCTTCGTGGAGGACTTTTTGATGAACTTAACCCACATTTGTGTTACATGGAGAGGAAAACCAAAAAAACTTCCCATGGTTAACCTGGCGGTAAATGGACTTTTACCCATGATCCGTCAACCTACTGAGGATATTTTGCGTCAGCACTGCGGTTGGTGTGAGCCGGATGCGGAATTCGTATCGACCAGCCATCGTTGAGATTCGAACTCGGTTCACCTCATTGGAAGGCGAACGCTCTATCCCCTGAGCCATCGCGACTCTTACTACTTCTTTGAAAATAACATTTAAGACAAAAAACAAAGGACATTAGCGTATCGTATCATAAGCTGAAATGTATTGCCACCTTCTTCTTACCACGCTCATCATTGTGGAGAAGTAAGACCACTCAGTATTCATGCATGTTTATTAATTTAATTCATGCATGCTTATTTTCAGTAAAAACGTAAATCAACTTATAATACTGAAAATATAATTAAATATTTCCAAATGTTGAGACATGCAAAAGTAACGATGCTTTTTTTTTTAAAAAAAAATCAAAAACTATCTTCAAAAATTAATTTAGGAATTTAAGTGAAAGCAATTGTCAACATGTACTTTTATTTACTAGGAAATCAATTTCTTGCCATATTTTTATTATTAATAGAATTTGAACATTAATGTGTCATTTAAGAGGATACCATACCACACGGGATAAACTTTTCATCGCAAATTTTCCTTCACCTCCTTAACCGATTTAAAATTTGAAATATATATAAAAAAAATGATTTCAGACAGATCTAAAGTAAGCCGTGAAGTTTTAAATACTGAAAATATATTTTTAAATTATCAAAATGAAAATAAATTTTACAGAGAAGATAACTTAGGATTAAGCAATGGAGAAGTTCTCTTCCAATAATTTGTTTGCATTTTCATAATTTGAATTTTTTTAAGCAATTAAAACTTCATGGCTTGCTCTACGTTTGACAGGACTCATTTTTTTTTAAATTTTTGAATTAGCAATGAAGTCGAAGACTCCCCGAGTAATGAATGCGGACTAGTGCACGTCAAATCTGTCGGGTCACAAAGTCTTCCATATTCCTATATAAAATCAATATCTCTGGTGGTACTGAATCGGAGACTGATCGTTTTCTGGTTCAGATCAAAATTACGAACTGCGAACGAATGAATGGATGTATGAATAAACCCGCCCTATAAACGAGTGTGACGTATGGGTGAGGCAGAAGTCGAATTATTGGACATAGATGGCGCCACTGAATTAACATGGTTCAATGGTTCCGAAGGCTAATTTATAATTCAACGGCCTTTAAAGTCTCGCTCTCTTTTTTGGAGATTTTCCTCTTGACTGTAATTGATAATAAATAATGTGTTATGCTTTTAAAATGTGTTGCCAAAACTTAAAAACAAGCCAAATAACAAGTTTTTTTTTTACTTAACAGAGAATATCAAACAGAAAAACGGGTAGTTAAAAGCAGCTGGATTAGAAAATCGCACCCCGTTCGATTCAGTTTTATTATTTGTTCGGGAAGGTTTTAACTTACCTTTCCTTCCCTAATTTCTTTAGCTAATTGTTTTGCAGATTTAAGGAGCAACTGGTTCCTTGCTGGTGGTACTGATTTTTGCTCTCCCCAGAATACAATAGTCAAAACAATTCGAAATGTATAGGCGATTATATAGAGGAGGGTCCTCTTTAGCCACCATGTAATTTCACTCATATCAGTCACCTAGTGGCATAATAAATTATATGATGAAATACATAGTCAGTTAAATCATTGGTATGAGTGTTTATAAGTGAATCATGATAATATTGTAAACATTTTAATATCAAATTTTCAACTGTACGAGGGTTGCTATTTATATTTCTGGCCTAATAATGAAAAAGCAAATATGTAGGATCGAAGTTGGTTTTATTGTTTTTCAAAATATTCTCCATGATGATCAATACACTTTTGCATGCGTTTGAACCAATTTTCAAAGCACTTTTTCCAGTCCGATTGAGGTAACTCCAAAACATGCGTTTTGAATGCATCAACCGCTTCTTCGGGGGTCGAAAATCGTTGTCCACGTAATTTATTTTTGATGTGTGGGAATAAGAAGAAGTCATTGGGTGCCAAATCAGGGCTGTACGGCGGATGACCCATCAGTTCGATCTTTCGCTCCGTCAGAAATGCCTTTGTTTGAGTCGATGTGTGAGAGCTCGCATTGTCATGATGAAGAATGATTCGCCTGTTCTTCTGCTTTTTTCGAATTTCTCCGATGACTTCTGGCAAACAAATGGTCGTGTACCATTCAGAATTGACCGTCCTGCGTTGCTCTAACGCCACTGTTGCCACATGACCGTTAATGCCGAAGAAACAGGCAATCATTTGTTTCGATGTGCTTCTTCCTCGAACAACTTTTGTTGGTTTTGCCTCGTCTTGGAAGACCCATACAGTTGATTGCTGTTTTGTTTCCGGCTCATATGCATAGATCCATGATTCGTCACCTGTGTAGATGTTATACACAGCCTTTGATGTACCTTGAACGTATTTTTCCAACATTTCCTTGCACCAATCGACACGAGCCTTTTTTTGAGCGTTTGTCAGATTATGCGGGATCCAACGCGAACAAATTTTTTTTACGCTCAAATGTTCATGCAATATTTTATTGATGCTAGTCATACTAATGTCCAAAGACGCCTCTATCTCACGGTATGTCACATGACGATCTTGCTTTATCAGTTCACGCACAGCATCGATCTTTTCTGGCACAACAACGGATTTTGGACGACCTGCACGGGATTCGTCCTGGATCGAACATCGACCACGATTAAATTCGTTATACCAATTTTTTACAGTGCTGTAGGATGGCGCTTTATCGCTGAATAAAGAATTAAGTTCATCGAAGCACTCTTGTCTTGACAATCCACGTCGAAAGTTATGAAAAATAATGGCACGAAAATGTTCACGATTCAATTCCATTTTTTGAAAGAGAAGAACTTTTCAATTTACTGTCAACAACACAAATGAAGCTATAATGGTAAATCGTCTGCTGAATTTATGTTTAAAAATATCAAACTTTCGATTAAAATCGTCTTCGGTCGCCTAGCAACACTTACTGTTGTCAAGGCCTGAAATATAAATAGCAACCCTTGTATATCGCACAAAATTTAAATAAAACTTGCTTAAATTACAAAAAGATAACTCTTGCAGATCTTGCATGTGGAGATCTAACTCTAAAACAAGATAACAACTTTCTTAATTCTAGAACTATCTTAATTTGAGTTATTGGAACAATGTAATGACTCTAGCATTAAGCTATCAAAGTTTCGATTTCAACTTAAATTGCAACTTTGTACTCAAAATTCTTTAACGCAATATCTTTTAAGCGTCATACATCATTGAAATTGAGAGCTGTTTGTTTCGCTTTTTTTATGTAATAACAATGCTATGCAAAGTGTTTCGAATGCAATGTAATAACAAGCAAGATGGAAGAAGTTATGAAGTAAAACCATCAATGATTGCGTGAACATGTTCCTCAATTACAACATTTAATTATCTTTTCGTTAAGTTCTTTTCCTCTTAAAATTTTTCCTCTATTTGAAAAGTTAATTGTTTTAGGTAGCACAATGATTAACCTACAACACCTTTAAAGCTATTTATAACACCCTTTAATGTTAATTTTACTTTTTGCGTACTTCGACATAACTCGAGAACTTTTAAAGCGAATTCAAAAGTTTTAGCACACTTTTAGAATTTGTTTATCCAACAATAATTCTTGGCAAAAATTCAAATTTAGTAAATATTTATTATTCTATATTATATTATAAAATAATTGTGAAAAATATTTTAAATTGTATGGTATACCAGTTTTTACATTATTTTTAAGTTTGTAATTTTGCATTGCAAAGCACAAAATCCGCACGAAATCGGTTGAACACAGTCTTTGAAAAATTGAATTTTAAAGAAGTCGTATGTTAAAAAAAATTCTTATCTTAAAGGAAATTAATAGTTTTAAATGGTAATCATTTTATATAACGAATTAGAATGAACCTCAACAGGTTTTATAGATTTGCTTAATATGCAAATTAAATGTGAAAAAAAAAATGTAAAAAATTTAGGAATTGAGCACAGGCACATTATGTTTACAATTTTGGTGCACTTTCAGAAGTCTTTAACTTCAGCCTTAGCTTCTGTCAATTAGAGTGCGTTATCAGTTTTTAATTATAGTCATGCGTGAAAATAAATTTTCATAGTGGTAAGTATAGTGTATCTACCACTATAAAAATGTTATTCCAATTTACAGTATATGAGACTAGTTAACTCGATTTTATGGAAGGGTATCTTTTCATAAATAAAGTTTGACATTGTCGAACACAACTCGCCCCACATTGGTGACCTTAGGACCTGGTGTGAACACGCCTACCTTGGTAGAAACGCCCACTACGATTTTGACAGTTGTCTTGTGACTGCGACATTATCGACCTCCTCGCCTTGTTGCCACTCAGTCTCGATCACACACAACGTATTTACTCGACTGCTTAAGGCAACACAGGAGCGGCCACGACCGTGAACTTAATACAGCACTCAAAAGTACGGTGATCATAATGCAGCTCTCTCGGCTTCTCACAAAACAGCAATGAATCAACAAGTGGTACCCGTTCATCGAATTCTATCACAGATATAATTCTGGCGGGGGAGTACTGTACTGTATCTACCACTACAAAAATGTAATTCCAATTTACTTGTATATAAGACTTGTGAACTCGATTCTAAGCAGGTTGACATTATCTCAGAGATGCCAACTTGCTCCGCTTTGTAAAATAGTATTTTCTAGTGGTAGCGAAATTCAAGTTACTTTTAGTTTAGTGTTTTTCCTTTTAAGTAATTTTCTCACCACTAAATATCAAAAATTATAAGTATCATATAAAATGCAACGTTGAAGCATCAATCAATTGCTTACTCTATTAAAAAGTAAGGGTATCTTTCCGTTTCTAACGAATTTCACTATATAATTTGCTACCACTATATTAAAACTATTCTAGAAAGCGGAGCAGTTGACATCCCTGTTATCTACTCTCCCCCTGTAACTAATTCCTGTTGCTAAATTTACATGAAATAATTTAAATGATTTTGACGATAACAATTATATACCTGCCAACATTCACTCTTTGCGAGAATAGATTTTCCAAGTGGTAGTAAAACAATTACCTAAAAACTATCTTCCTCAAAAATTTATTTATATTTTAATCAGGTTGAAATTTGCTATCGTAAGGACTAATATGCTTTTATATATTTGTTGTAATTATTTATATGTAGTGGTGGTCAAACTCATTTATAATTATTATTATATTTCAAAAGGATTAGCGGAATAACATGAATTTCGCTACCACTTTAAATATGGAAATAAAATCTTCCGCAAAAAACCGAAGAGTTGGCAGTTATGCAATTATATTCCTCTAAAATTGATATGGGTTGAAGCAATGTACTTTTTTTCTCATTCTACCTAGATATCAACTTAACCCAGTATGAGGACGAAATTTCTTTGTTAAACTAAGAAATATATGACTATAATCAGATAATTTAAAAATCACATTTGGAGAAATACGAAACGCTAAAAAAAGGAAAGAAAAACTTACAACTCTGAATAACTTTTGATCTAATGATCGATCTTCACATTCTAGCACTCAATCAGGATGATATGACAGGGCAACCATAAATATGCGAATTAACTAGTAATGAAATCAGACACAAAAAAATACTTTCTCTGACTAAACATAACCTTTTTATCAACGGATTCGGATTTTTGACAACCCGACCCTCCCCAAAAAGCCGCATTTTTTAAAACTCGATTTCTCAGGAGCTATCAAACAGATTTCGATCAGATCTTGTATTATGGCGTGTAAAAATACAATCTTTAAGACTATGTAAAATATTTTATATCGTACAATTCAATATTTTTCAACAATTACTAAATATAATCATGAAAAATAACAGATATCTACTAAAATTTATATTTTGCATATTTCTTTTTTATATTTATATATTCTTATATATATATANTATATCAATCGAAATAAATTCATTAATAGGACATACAAATGTGTCTAAATGAATAAGTTTTTTAAACATGGTACCATAATTACCTCTAAACTTTCACTTTAGATGATATCCGACAAATAAATCATGATCAAAGGATGTTATGCCTCAAAAATTTATCGGAAACATGAGTAACCAATTAAAAACTAGCATTCTGATCCCATGGCAGTTGAATACTCAGTACAACAAAGATAATTACGCCCAACTCATTAAAAGAGTCTCCTCGAGTTAATTACAATAACGTTGTTTTTCATCTGATACTTAGAATTTTTAATATGTATTTGAGGAAAAACTATTTAAAATGTAATATACTAAAGTAAAAATAACTTACATTTCTTTACTATTCAAAAAATGTTTTTAATATAACGGAGTATCTCTATTTTTTGATCGTAACTATTTATTCTGACACGAGGAAGGATAATCAATTAAAGATAATACTCTTGTTCTTCAAATTAGAATGATCGTGCTAGTAATAAGAAACTATAACGTATATTTGTTTAAGCGTGGGTGTAGGGGACTCTCGTTCGGACAATTTGTTAGTTGATGGTTAAGTAATTGGTCAAGCAGATTCGAATTATATAGTTTTTCTGAAGTCACTTTCAATTTTTCTTGTGGTATTTCATGGCTCGAACAGGACCACCAGGGCTTACCGTTCAGTTTAATTTCTGGTATAAAATCGAATAAAAACTTCCATTATTTGTTATGCTTCATTGGAATTAAAATTTTAAAAGAAATGTTTTGGTTTTATTGAAGTTTTCTTTAATTTATCACATTAGCTTCCACCCACGAACACTGATTTTTGATGCTCATAGAATAATGTAAATCTTAGGAAAATAGATTTATTTTTTCATAGAAAATGCTTTTTTCTTAATTTTTTTTCTATGTGGAAATTTTTTTTTTTTTGAATATCAGGTTGAAATTCTTTATTATCGAGAAGTAATAAGACGTTAGAAGCTTTAGAAATTTAAGCAACAAAGCTAATTTTTTAAAAAAAAATTCCTTTTTTAATTTTTTTAAAAATATTTGGCTTTACAAATACAAACCTTTAATACATAAAAATTGCGCTTTATTTGGTTTTTCACGTTATTTCATCATAAAATTGTCACCAATTACTGGGAGCAATTTTATCAGTAATTATTATTTTTTTTTTTTTTTTTGGTGCAGCTTGCATCTCTGTACTCATAAAAAGAGGCCCTGTAATCTCCTAATTATGTTATCAGAGTGTTCATAACCGCTTATTTTTTAACCGGCAAAAATTTAATTAGTGGTACAGAAAATTTTAAGAAACAAATTATTTTTAATAAAAATGAATATGTTTAGGAACTTAATAAAATATGTTTGTAAAACTGAAATATATTTATAAAACTATATACTAGTGAAATTAAACCCTTAAAAGTTTCAAACAGACTCTGAAAACAATAGTCCCCAGTTTTTAAAACTTTCCCGGTTGTGTCTATTTCAATATGAAAATCTTAATTTTAGTGAAACACAAACACATAGTAAAGATAATTTTTATTTTTTGATCATGTAATACAAATACAAAAAAATATTCACTTCGAAATAAATTCTTCCTTAGTATCAGAAATACATTTTTCTCTTATAGTTAGTGCGCAAGAGAAGTGGTCGCGTAACAAGAGGCCAAAGTAAAATTCGAAAAACTAAAGGCATATACAATACCCTACAATATTGGAAAAAATTCTTCTGTTTTTGATCTTCTTAGAAATTTACCAATCTCTTCAATTTCTCAATCTCTTGGAATTTCTTCTTATTTTTAAATTTGGAGGTGTTTGGAACATGTGATTTCTCATTTTAAATTTGGAGGTGTTTGGAACATGTGATTTCTCATATTTATCAAAAAAAGTTTAAGGCTTAAAGAGGGTTGAGGGACTGGCAGTAAATTACAGAGCTATTGTTTTGAATATTTTCTGCTAGAAAATCTAACAATTAGCTAGTAACTTGCATTGCTTATTTTGGATGTTACATGCTCAGTTTAAATTTTCATAGCAATATAGACATTTTTATATAAAAGAAACTAAACTTTTACCTTACGTTTTCTAACTATTTTCAAATATATTAAGTATAGAGCAATTTTTATTTAATAACGCAAGAATATCATTTTGAACTTTGAAAGAAATCAGTTAAAATTAGCTCAAGAAAATTTAAGTTCGCCTATTTCTACTGCGCATGCGCGGAAAACAATTGAAAGCAGTCAGTTGAAAACATGTTGTGAATCATAAATTATTTAAGTGTGTTTTATTTTTGTGAATATTATTTGGTAATTTATGATAAAAGTCCAAATTGAATATCTTGAATTTTGAAAGGCAGCTCTGAAAGAGTTTTCCACAAGCGTTTCGTTTTGTACCGTAAAACAAGAGTTATTAGAAATTACGCATGCAGTATTCCTTATTCCATCACATATTGCTGTCTGATCAATTATTATAGGGTAGTATCATTTGTTATTAAATTTTGTTTTATAATACAAAATAAAATTTTTGCGAAGAGTTTCTCTTCATTCAGAGTTTTCTTTTAAAAAACATGAAACTCTTTTAAAGTTATAGTAAGATTACTATTAACTAACTCGTATACTAAAGTTATAGTAAGATCACTAGTTGTCATGGAGTTGTTAGAAATTCGGTAAGTTCGTAAGGCAAAAAAATATTTTTTTAATGAAAATGTCTATATGTTTATGGATATTTAAGCTAGATATGCCTTTATTGCAAATAATAACCAAAGTAATTGATTCAGGTTACAAGCTTATTGCTACATAGGATTTTCAAAACACTCTTTTTTCGTTCATAATTTACTTCCTGTCTCTCTCTCAGACCTCTTTAAGTATGAGAAATACCATGACCTAAACATCTCGAAAGTTTCTCTAATATATCAAAAGATACTTACTAAGACGGATTTGATAAATATAAAAAATCACATGACAAAAATATCTCTAAATTGATTAAATAATTCTTTGGTATTTTTTTAGAAATTGAAAAAATAGTCAAAAACTTCAAGTGTCTTTTTTTATCATTGTTGGATAGTGTATTTTCCTATAAATGACTAGATCTGGACTTCAATAAGAAAAATCATAAAATTGTAAATAACAATTTTTATTAATTAATATGACTTAGATGTAAATCATGAAAGTAACAATATATCTAGGTGTTAAAGTTTGAGTTCTTTTTTCAAAAAAAGAAGCTCAAATAATCGATTAGCTCAATTGTTTAGATACAAGAGATCTCGTAATTTATTTTATGAGCAAAAAATAATATCAACCTAATAGAGCAGAGTTTATCCAACGCCTCCTATAACTGAAAGCCACCACACGGCTTTTTATAGGTAGTCCGATCAGACCACTAAGAAGGATATCCACTTTCCGAACGAGTCATTTCATACTGAATATTGTTAAAATAAGAAAGTGGTAGCAAATATATGACTAAAAATTTGTTTTATTTATGAATATTATTGGTTTGCCTTATTCACTTATCAACCACTACATATTCAATTCTCAAATATATATGATAAATTTCTCTCAATTACTTCTATAAAAGGTTTTGGGTTCATGCGCACAAGTGGTTCACTTTTTAAGCAGTCTGCGCGGACTACTTATAAAAGACCGTGTGGAGGCTTTTTGATGTAGGAGGTGATGGTTTATCTACCCGATTTACTCAAATGACCGGCAAAATACTTCAATCATTTATTGCGGACCGGTAATTTGGGTTATTAGCATAATTTTGCAAATACAGAACTGTCTTTGAAATAAATAAAAATATTTTGAGCCTAAACCTATGTATACATAAAGTTTATATCAGTTCTAATACTATTATAAATACGCGGAGTGACGCCGGTACATGTACAGGCTGTTTAAAAAGAATATTAGTGTTTAAAAATTACATTTACTTTAATAAAAAGAAATATTAGTTTGACGAAAATAATTTCTTGTCTTTTTATTTTTTTATTAGTATTATGCAAAACTCTATCTCAAAGGAAAATTTTAAAAAACACACAGTTCACGAGCCTTAAATACAAAAGCTGGCTTTAGTTTTAAACTATACAATTTTGCCAAAAAAGAGTTGCCTAGATTCAATTATACAGAACATTTTAAAATGCACTGAAATGGTGAGACTTCCAACTTAGAAAAAGGAAAATTATTAAAATTAAAAATTTTCTTTTTAAAATTCTTAAGATGTTCAATATTTATTTGAAAGAAGTGGTTCAAGTTAATTTTAACTCCGCAAATTACCATTAAAAGTTATTTGGCTTGGGAGGAATCCATCCCCCAAAAACTTTTTCCAGTTCTGCAGCACAAGCTATGGTAAGTGGATCATTATTCATTCCACCTATGATTTGCATACCATATGGTAAGCCTTCTTTGTTTATTCCAAGAGGACACTGAGTTGCTGGATGACCAGTAAAATCGAAAGTTCCAGTATAGGCCCAACTCAAAGGAAGACTTGTTGACATTTCATAATGGTAAGGAGCTGGAACAGGATGAGTTGGATAGATGAAAATGGCATTTTCGTCGTCAAGAAGCTCGTCCAATTCCTTTCTCAATTTCCCAAGAATAATTTCATACTTTTTTTGTGAAGTGGGATTGTTTCCGATAATAAATCTGGAAAGCAACTTGTTCCCCATTATCCAAAGTAACGGAGGAAAAGAAAATGTCGATTTTCCAAATAGCAACTTTAAATGCTCTAGAGGTAAGTTTATATGATCAACTTTACCTAATGTTATGAAATTGACTATGTTTGAAAGTGGTGCTATAGCACGACTAATTCCAGTTTCAATAGTTCTTTCTATTAGAGGAATTTCCACTTTCTTTGCAGCTACGTCGTATTTTTTAGTGAAATGAGAAATAGCCTGAAAAGTGAAAATAGATAATAATTAACTACCTTTTAAAAAAAAACTATAGAATTAAGTTGTAAGAAATAATTAAATAAAACTCGATAAGAGATAATTAAATAAAACTATAAAAGTCATAAAAATGATAATTTGTGTGCTCCACTTAATTTAAAGGATCTCTTTATAATTTACAGTACAGTGCAATATGGGGTGAAAAAACATTAAACATTTTGCCTTTTTTTAAGTAAAAAATATAAGGAAATCTATTATTGTTGAATAATTTTATTTGCATCTCCTCTTAATAATTTTATTTATTTATGATTGAGATGTTCAGAAATTGAATTTAACAATTCCATGATGAACGCATCAATTTTCATAATTCATTTTGTTCCAAAACCTTATGCAATTCTCGGGTTGAGAGCCGTTCAATCACCTCCCGTTCTGCCCCATCGTGTCGACCCAATCTAGTACGCAAAAATACACTTTTTAAGCAACAAAAATGGTAGTTTTTTTTCTTATGTATCCATTTATTATAGAAAAACAAGAAGCACTAAAACAGAATTTCATAAAATTCTGACTGTTTGAGGGATAAGCCTCAATTATTTAAATTTTTTCATCATAAGAAAATGAAAACGTCAATGCTGTCATTTAGGAAAACAATACAAAAAAAAATTCTTGCTGCTTATGAAACTTTAGTTTAAGACTAGATCTTGCAGATCACTTATGGGAATGTGACCCTAAAATTATAAAACAAAAAATTAGTCATAATATTCTAATCAATTCAAATGAAACTTTTATTTAATTTGCTTGTAGGATGCTGTCGTGCTGAAATGCGCTTAACATATTTCCTAGCATTCCAAAACTGAATGATTATCTCAATCTTTTGTCAATAAATAAAAATAATCAATGTAATCAATAATCTTTTTGTACCATCAATTTGAATTGAGTGCAGAATAAAATCAAATTTTTGAGACTCCCTCTACATCTGCTTTACACATTAACATAGAATTCGAAAACCGTTACATGGTTGCTAAATGTTTTGATTTTATTAAAATCGTTATTATTTCTCACACTTTCTTCTCCACCAACACATTTAAATGTGTAAGGCTAAGAAAAAGAACCTTGGCAATAAATTAAATCCAGTAATAATTTACAGATTCCTTAACTTTTCTTGGAGAAAACTGTTCTAACGTATACATGACTCTGGCATTTTTGATTTCTTAGTGAACGGAGGTTTCCTGTGGGACTTGCCCTGTAACGTATCAAGCTATATAAATAACAATTCAGTTTTTTGTAAAAAAGAAACTTTTATTCACAAACAACACTAACAGTAACAAATATGAAATACTCGTAACGGGATAGTTAAAATCTTGTAAAACAAACTAGAAAAACCCGTAACGGATTATAAGAAAACTCAAATTCCAAAACAAAACTAATCTCTTAAAAACCAACAACTCACAAGGGAAACTAGGGAAGTGTGACTCGCCAATTTTGAAATAAACTAGTGGGATGTATGCCTTATGAGGAATAATTTTAGGGGGCAACATTCGTTTCGGCCCATAGAAGGTCCTGCGAGAGATAAAAAATAATTCAATGCATAGAAAAATCGGTATTTTATTACTTCAATGCAGACTATTAGTTATTGTAATTGTCTCATACTCCAATTAATTTTGTGGTACTTTCACGGACTATATAATGCATATTTATTGTCAAAATTGATTTCGAAAATTTTATATATCTGTAGTTTATCAGAAAAACCTGTTAGGTTAATTTAAAAAAAAAAAATTCCAAATTAATTGGAGTATGTGATTGCAAATCAATTAATTAATAATTAATTAACAATTGATTAATAATTAATTAACAATTAATTAATTCTCTGAATGATTTATTAATTAGTAAATTAATTAATCATCAAATTAATTACAAATTAATCGGATTATGAGACAATTACAATAACTAATAGTATGCATTGAAGTAATAAAATACTGATTTTTCTATATATTGAATTATTTTTTATCTCTCACAGGACCTTCTATGGGTCGAAACGGATGTTAATTAATTTATTACTTAGCAAATTAATTAATTATCCAATTAATTACAAATTAATTGGAGTATGAGACAATTACAATATCTAATAGTCTGCATTGAAGTAATAAAATACCGATTTTTCTATATATGGAATTAATTTTTATTTCTCACGGTTCTCACGGGACCTTCTATGGGCCGAAACGAATGTTGCCCCCTAAAATTATTCCTCATAAGGTATACATCCCACTAGTTTATTTCAAAATTGGCGAGTCACACTTCCCTAGTTTCCCTTGTCAGTTGTTCTAAAAATGTCTCATTTGGTCGTAAAAATTATCACAAGCGACTAGGGACAGGACGATTCCATAATACAAACGGACTTAGAAAATTTAGAAGGGGGAAAATGAGCTCGATATCGGGAAAACGTTGCTGGTGAGCAAAATATCGCCTTATTTTAGCGCCAACATTAGAAGTCAAATTTTGGCAGGATTTTCTGAAAAAAAAATTTAACTAGGGCCATCAAAAAAGAAAGAATTGATTATTAGGCTTTACAGAGAAGACAGTCAGATTTGATTTTTTTTTAATCTTCAAAGAACGTTTTTGATGCAGAGAGGTACGTACCTCAGTACTGTTGACAATTATCTGTCGCTGTTGCAGCAATTCCGTACATGTTGGAGGAGCGTGAGGGGGGGGGGAGATCGTGAAAAGAATTCCGTGTATAAACGGGGCAGTGGCACTTGACCTTAAAAAAACACCAGTGTAGGGCAAATTTATACCGGGCAGTGGCACTTAACTAGACCTTGTATATATTTCAGACATTTACCAAAAGTCTAGTCAACTAGACCTAGTATNGGGTTATAAGAAAACTCAAATTCCAAAACAAAACTAACTCTTAAAAACCAACAACTCAGTTGTTCTAAAAATGTCTCATTTGGTCGCAAAAATTATCACAAGCGACTAGGGACAGGACGATTCCATAATACAAACGGACTTAGAAAATTTAGAAGGGGGAAAATGAGCTCGATATCGGGAAAACGATGCTGGTGAGCAAAATATCGCCTTATTTTAGCACCAACATTAGAAGTCAAATTTTGGCAGGATTTTCTGAAGAAAAAAAAATTAACTAGGGCCATCAAAAAAGAAAGGTATAATTCTCACATTTCATACTTTGCCTAAAAACATCCAACATTCTATGCAATGCCGGCGTTTCATAATTTGCCGGTCACATACATATATTAAGATCTAACTAACTTTAAATTAAAAAAAATTTTAAAACAGAAGCAAAACAGATAACAATAATAAAAACAAAGACATAACGAAAAAATTCAACATATAACATATTTTATGCGAGTTCGAAAATGACAGCAAACGTCGCAAAAAATAAACATAAAAACAAATGCGAACGGTGAAGGTAAACCTTTGAAATTTAGCCAATACGCCAAGGAAGCAAACAAAAAAATCCCCAATATTCTCAGTGTAATTACCCTCTTTCCCTATTTTTATTCTTCAGACGAAACTCTAAGTTTTTAACATTATGGAATCGTCCTTCCCCATGTCGCTTGTAAATTATCGCTTGCTTTTATTTTTCTTTCTTTATCTCTTTATGTGTTTAGTTTATTTTATTCATGCTTTTGCTATCCCGTTATTTTTTTAATATTTTTACTTTTATTCATGCTTTTACTAACCAATTATTTTTTAATATTTTTAGACTTCATAGCCCCATCAGTTAAACCCTCTGCGACGCCGGGATAGCCTGGTTGGTAGGGCACTGGGGCATGTCCAAGATGTCGTGTGCTCGATCCCCGCTGGCCGAAGACTCTCTGTGTAGTAAATGGGGACTGATGCACGTTAAATCTGTCGGGTCACAAAGACCTCTATTTGATTCTTTTTAAAAACCATTTATGATTTTTAATAAATAATTGCTTATCTTCGCCACTTTGAAGACAATAGAATAATTGGACTAACGAATGATAATATTTCCTACGTTCATATTTCTTCAAGCACCGTTTCACACCAACTACCAATTTTTCTTCTACCTATCAATTTATCTTCAACATATTAATCATCACCATCAGGATAAATATTCTACTAATACTGTCTTCCTCGACCTCTTTCCACAAACTAATAGTTTTTTTATAATAAATGCCTTTAAACATCAATGTTGTCCTTTGAATTTATGCCAATATATCCTCATAGACATATATAGCTTATTATCTTATATTTCCTCCAAAAGCTAGACATAGTAAATAGTGATTTTACATTTTTATTTCACTGTAAGAATCATTAATAAATAACCTAACATTTTATTCCTTCATTCTTTTTCAAGCTAAATAATTTATAAATAAGTTTATAATTTCTTTAAGTTTTTTTCACCTCTAAAAGAAATAATTTTATGATTAAGAATGAAATTGTTTTAACTTATTTGCATGAGCAGAGCTACTGAATTTAGTTACAAAAGAATTTCTTTGAATATGATCAGTAAAATCTTGTATTAATTTTACTTTACTTTTCTACCCATTTTTAATAGTTGACTAACTAAGAGGCTCTTATCATCCATCTAAGTTTGAGTTCGTGCTGAAGAAGATATCAAAGTTATAAGCAGGTGCAGTCTATTTTAAACATTTGTCTATATCACATTCAACTTGTAGCATATAACTTTTACAATGTAGTGTTGAAATTATTATTTTTAGTAGCTGTTGTAACTCTTACTATTACTAAGGATAATAGTTCTCCCCTCTACCTCTTTTATTTTACTCATTACTCAATTAAATATGTTTACTTTGTTAACTTCTATTTTAATCTCTTAAGTATATTTCTCTTTGTAAGCTATAAGCTAATTCTTTCATTTTGATATCTTCGGTTTTAGCGGGTTGTCGTGTTACCGAAGCGGGGGAGCCATCCCCTCTGCAGAGGATCAAAATTGTGATGGCATGTCTTCGGATTCATCCTCAGGGATGTTTCCCTGACCGTCGCCATTAGCCCATTGTGCAGCTCTAGTGCGACGTAAATGAACTACGTACGAACGTACGCTTCCAGAATTTTCAAGATGTCAACAAACGAAAATGTCCGTTAAAACGATTTTCTAATATTTTCTTTCTGGAACTCTCCTAAGTTTGCAGGAGGGTTTTTTCTCTTTATGGATATTGAGAGAGAAAACAAATTGCAATTTATATGTAACAGTTAACTTCGCTTATAGCTTACAGTTATAGCATGGGCAGACGTTGCATTGTTCGTAATACACACATCATGCTTAGTAACGATGATTCTCAATAGTTGGTAACTTATTAGACAAATCTTATGCAGCATTGATCATGATACAAACTTTGCACATTGGTGTAACTTGTGAAACCTTTATTCAAATTAAAGTACTTGAAATTTCAGTTTTAAGGAAATTGTTCGGATTCCTTAATTGGTATTCTGCTAAAGGAATCAGTTTCTCTTTATCGGGTCCTGTAAGAAATGCTGGGTTGGGGGATGAATGTCGCTATGTCAATATTATAATAACAAACCATACGTCCTAGGTTAATAACCGGGAAAATTTGAACTTGAGATAGGGAATAAGAGGATTAACAGTAAGAGTTAACGAGAAATAGAACATTACCAATTAATTATTTCCTGATTACATATTTTACATAGTCTATGAGTTTCTAGGGTGTGGTTTCATAGTCTAGGGATGTGTTTTTAAATGCTTGCAATATTCTGTGATACAGCAGTGATCTCAGCTAATTTCCTCTTACTGATAAGAGAAATTAAGAAATGAAATTTTGACTTGAACCAGTATTTTCATTTGCTAAGCAACAGTCGTGCATAAATAAAAGTTAAATTAATTCAAACAGTTCAATAAAAAAAATTTTGTATTATTTCTAAGTCTTCGAAAATTCTTGAGTTTCTTAGATGAAACGGGAAAAAGAGGGAATAAACCCTTTAAATTCGGTTGATTAATTATTATTTACTAACTTTAAGCATTGATGAAACTATTTCTTTATCTACAGGAAGCATTCCAAAGTCCTTTATACTCGTTGAGTAATAAATCTTCAAATTTCGGAAGTCTACCTGAAAACAAAGAGTAAATTAATAAACGTAATCCTAATTGTGAAACAATGACAAATCATGGAAAACAAAATTTTAAAAAAATGAAGCATAATTATTATTTGGGCAGTCAGGTCAGAAATTTAATCTCATCATTCAAAAGTCTGTCGTAATCCTGCATATATATATATATATATATAAATAATTTTTTATTTCTTTTGTGAAAAACAAAGATAGCAAGTGCAAATCTCTATGAAAAATTGCCTCCAATCTTTACTAGTGGAGGAATATTCAAAGCATTTAAGGAAGATTCATACATGGGAGTTAATATTCAGTTGGGAAGTACGAAATTGGAGACAGAAAACTAATAAGTAATGCAAATACTGCTTCTTCAGTGCTGACTTGNACTTACGTTGTACGTGCTCGTATATATCCTGTCTTAATCAGGAATATATAGAGTGTTCCAGGATTATTTGGACAAACTTTTAGAGGAACCAGGGGACATCACAAGGATTCAGATTTTCACAGCAATCCATGGTTGGAAAGGTCTTCGTTCGCCACTAGGTGGTATTGTTTACAAGATAGATTGAGCATGGTGAGACGATTTCCTAGCCACTTCAGTCTCCTGATTTAAGCAGCATGCGATTCTTTTTTGGGGCTGCACTGTTCGCAACACCTGCGGATTCGTTAATGGATCTGGTAGCACGAATCGTTGCTCTTGCGGATATCCAATAAAATCCAGGAGAATTTGAGCGAGTCTGCCAATCAATTACACGACGGTGTAACGTATGGATCACTAGAAATAATGGAAACCTTGAACATAGTTTGTGACATTTGCACCTATCATCTACCGCAGCTCATGTAATATCTTTGTCCAATAAATATTTCAGATAATCTCAGTCTTGTGTCTCCTTGTATCTTTTACCTGTCATACTTTTCCTTGACATTTTCAACCATGTGATGCTATGCAATCCTTAATCCTTGTAATCCCATATCTTTTCCTTAAAGTTTGTCCCAATAATCCTGGGACATCCTTTATAGCTTCAATTTAACTCAGTTTTCCTGGAGAAAAAATTTTTTTTGAAAAACTTTACAAAAGTGTTGGCAAGTTGTTGAATTTTACACTTTCTTTGACTCGAAACTGATAAACTTCGTAGTTTTCAAATTTTCTTGTTTTTAAAATTTATTAGGCAACGTTTGTAATCCTCATAATAATTTGGTTACTCAAACTCAGTTACTTAACACGTTCACGCTGGGGTGACCCACCGGTGGGTCTCTTATCTTGGCAGCCCACCGGAGTAACAACTGGTAACAATAAATTTCATTATTAATTTTTTTTCGGGAAAAATAAAAATCCATAACTACCAATTGTTTTTAACGGATGCAATTTTTATATTGAATTGCTTCTTCACGGTTATAAATTTCCTTACAGTAAATTGTCATTGTTAAGAACAGATTAAGTCCTCCCGAATATTATCTAATATTGAAATAGTTCTTCTGCCAGTATTTTCTCTTTTACCGTACCAGTATTTTCACTTTTCCCGGCGTGAACATGTTAAACTAGTTGATGCTTAGTTTTGGAAATTTTTACTTATTTTGATAATTAGTTAATCCTCACTTGGATACTTTTGACAAGAATTCTAAAATCCATAATTGTAGGTGTTTAAATTTTTACTTATGTTTGGGTAGTTTTAAAGTGGCTATATTCACTTTTCTAGCCGTTGAAAGATCCTATATTTATTTCAACTGTTAATAAGTTAACCACACACAGTTTGCTTTTTTAAAATAAAGATAGAAATTAAATGTTTACATAACCACTTTAAATTTTTCGACAATTGACATCTCTGCAGGGGTGAAAGCGAGACGGAAAAGAGGAAAGGCTGGTAGTAAAACCTTTTCGGTTATAGCTAGATTTTGGAAGGAGTTTACTAATTCTTTTTTTAAACTATTCAACAATATCTACTTTATCTTGGAAAAGAAGCAGTTTTTTATATATGCTAAAATTATAAAAGAAATCTTGATAGATACAGATATTTTATTTTTTTGGAAAAAAATGCTGGAATGAAATGTCTTACGTACCAGTTTTTTCTCTTTTCAGTCTCGTTATATACCCTCCAACTTATGAGGATTTTGAAATTAATTCTTTCTAGTGGTAGCGAACCAAAGTAGAAATTTTTAAAGCAAATGGATCTCTCATAAAACTTTTATCAGAACTTAAGAATCTAGCCATATGGCCTGCACTTTTATAAGTAATAGTGGACAAGTAACGCTAAAATTGATTTTTTTTAAATAGTAAGACATTAATTTTGCTACCCTCTGAAAAGAAGATTTCTGAAACTACGGAAATTCCGTAGCAGTTGGAGGGTATGTATAAGGGCTTTCAGGCATGCATCTCTGTGAGTATGATGAAAAAGAAAGGGCCTGCTAGAGACTCAAGTTGCCCAATTAAATCATTACGCCTACATTAGAGATGCACCGGGTCATAAAACTTACCCGTAAAAAATTTATCTTTTTCTGGCAGGTATCGGGTACCAGTATTTGTATATATTAATCGTTCGAATTTTATAACATTTATGCTAAACAATATAAAAATCTTATAATTTTTCATTGAACAAATAATTTGCGAGATATAGTTCTAGGAAAATTAATTATGTAAATAAAAACATATGTTTTTATTTTTACATATTTTCAAACTAAATTTTAAAAAAAATTTCTAAAAAGAAATTTAGATAAAACGTTCGGATGTAGAATGATTAATATAAATTGTTGCTATGAAGTAGATCAAGAAATCTGCTAATATTGCTATAGAACTAATCAATCTGCTAATATAACTAATTAATAATTTTATTTATTAAACTTTTTAATAGAATTTATTAATTTAGCTTCTGATAAACTTAAGATATTTTTAAAATATTTCAATAAAATGATGGTGTATTAATGGAGAAGCCTTGAAAAGCCTGATGGACCATCAATGGAGCAGCCCTGAAAATTGCTCCATGAGAATTGTCACCCTTAAAAACCACGAGGGGTCCCGCCCCAGAGGTAGGCCTCCTACTAGATGACTCAACGACATCGAACATGACCTGAAAACCTTCAAGATTAGAAATTGGAAGGAAGTTGCCATGGATAGGAGGCACTGGCGTTTGTCAGCTGTTGAGGCCGACAAGGCCTGCAAGAGGCTGTTGTGCTAACAAAGAAGAAGATGGTACATTAAATGAAAAATGTTTTAACCATTAGTGTTTGATTTTTAATCATCCGATAGTTGTAAACGCAATTTATATGCAATATGAGATCAAATTTAATTACAATTTCTTAACTTTTTTCATACTAAATGAAATATATATTATCGCATGACCTAAATATTATCCCATTACCAATATTTTACAGTCAAATAGCAGTTTTACTGTCCTTTGTGTAAAGATTCTATCAGACCCTTCTGTTATAGTGGTAAAAGTATCGGACTCTAATTCGGAGGAGCCGGTTTTCGATCTTACTTCATTAAGATCCACGAAGTACTTACGTTGTACGTGCTCGTAAAATCTGTGGAATCGGATGCTCTGTGGCTGGTCGTTCAACAGTACCATAGGTACAGCATACCTACCAACTCTTCCGGATTTTCCGGAAGATTTTATTTTCATATTTAAAGTGGTAGCAATACTCGGGTTATTCCAATTACGTTTTTGAATGATAATGATAATTATAAATGAGTTTGACCACCACTACATGTAAATAATTACAATAAATATATCAAAGCATAATAATCCTTGCGCAAGCGAATTTCAACGGGATCAAAATATGAATATATTTTTGAGTCAGATTGTTTTTCGTTTATAGTTTTACAACCACTCTGAAAATCCATTCTCGGAATGAGTGAAAGTTGGCAGGTATGGTACAGAGACCTGGAGAAAACTTCCGTCTCCTTCGAATTATGTCAAAAGTGTGGAAATGGCCTCACGAATTAGTGCTGCTGCCTTCTATCCGAGAGGTTCTGTTCGCAAAGACCAATTTTTGGCGCGTTTGGCTTGTCCAAGTGTCATAAGAAACGACAACAATAAAATAAAATAAAAACAACTTTTTATGGTAGTCTGACGGTATGAATACTTTAACCAAACTGGCTGGAAATTGAATTTATTCAGATAATGAGCAAAAAACACGCTCTCTAGAAAAAATTTAATTTAAAAGTTACCGATGACCAATTTTATTTGTACTTGCTTCTTTTCAATATATACGTGCATCAACCTAAAATGAAATTTGTATCTTTGCATTTAATTATGATTTTCTACCTACTTCTGATTTTTTTAAAGAAAATAAAACTATGCAAATATGAAATAAGAAATTTTACTTTAACAAAGACATTTACAAATGTTTATTCCTTCTGCTTTCTTAGTTTCGATAAATCGTACACTGAATATAATTACGTTGTTTTAATAATAAAAACATAAATACCTTTTGTCCAAATTTGCGTCTTATTGGGTTTTCTTCAGTAAAAACTTTCATCATTGCTTNAGAACCCGACACTCGAAATTTTTGCTCTGTTACAATCGTACCCTGTTACAATTGACCCCACTCTCCCCTATATATATATATATATATCCTGTCGTAATCAAGAATATGTAGAGTGTTCCAGGATTATTTGGACAAAGCAATCCAAGGTAGGAAACGTCTTCGTTCGCCACTAGGTAGTATTGTTCACAAGATAGATTGAGCATGGTGGGATGATTTACTAGCCACCTCAGTCTCTTGATTTAGGCAGCATGGAATTCTTTCTTTGGGCTGCACTCTGTTCACAACACCTGAGTATTCGTAAATGGATCTGGTTGCAAGAATCGTCTGTGCTGTTGCGGATATCCAATAAAATCCAGGTGTATTTGAGCGAGTCCGCCAATCCATTGACCTACGGTGTAACGTATATGCATCACTAGGAATAGTGGAAACCTTGAACATAATTTGTGTCATTTTCACATATCATCTACCACAGCTCAAGCAATATCTTTGTCCAACAAATATTTCAGATAATTTCAGTCTTGTGTCTGTATCTTGTACCTGTCATACTTTTCCTTGACGTTTTCAACCGTGTGTTGCTATGCAATCCTGAATCTTTGTAATATCCCATACATTTTCTTTAAAGTTTGTCCCAATAATCCTGAGACATCCTTTATAGCTTCAAACTCTCTCAGTTTGTCCCCAAATAAAATTTTTGTTTTGAAAGTGTTGGCAACTGTGAAAATTTGTTGAATTTTACACTTTCTTCGACTCGTAACTGATAAACTCCGTAATTTTCAAATTTTCTTGTTTTTAAAATTTATTAAGCAACGTTTGCAATCATCATAATAATTTGGTTACTCAAACTCAGTTGACTCAGTAACTCAAACTAGTTGATGCTAAGTTTCGGAAATTTTTACTTGTTTTGATGATTAGTTTACCCTCACATGGATACTTTTGACAAGAATTCTGGAATCCGTAATGATAGGAGTTTAAGTTTATACTTATGTTTGGGTAGTTTTAAGTGGTTATATTAACTTTTCTAACCGTTGAAAGATCCTATATTTATTTCAACTGTTGATTAGTGGTAGTCATAAACAGTTTGCTTTTTTGAGATAAAGATAGAAATCAAATGTTTATATAACCACTTTAAATTTTCCCACAATTGTCATCTCTGAGAGTATGATGAAAGAGAAAAGGCCTGCTGGTGACTCAAGTTGCCCAATTAAATCACTACGTCCACATTACAGATAAAGTGGGTCCTAAGATTTCTTGGTTTCGAGTACCCGTTAAAAATTTATTTTTCTCTGACAGGTTTCGGGTTGAATATATTAATTGTCTGAGTTTTATAACATTTATGCTAAATAATATAAAAATCGTATAATTTTTCATTGAACAAATAATTTACGAGATATAGTTCTAGGAAAATTAATTACATAAATAAAGACATATGCTTTCATTTTTACATATTTTCAAACAAAATTTTTAAAAAATGTTTCTAAAAAGAAATCTGGATAAATGTTCGGATGTAGAATGATTAATATAAATTGTAGATAAATTGTAGATTGAGACATCTGCTAATAGTGCACTTGATAACTAATTAATAATTTTATTTATTAAAATTTTAAATCGAATTTATTAATTTAGCTTTTGATAAACGTAAGATATTTTTAAAATATTTGAATAAAATGATGGTGTATTAATGGAGAAGCCCTGAAAAGCCTGATGGACCATCTATGGAGAAGCCCTGAAAATTTCGCCATGAGAATTGTCACCCTCAAGAACTCCGAGGGATCCCGAACCAGATGTAGGCCTCCTACTAGATAGCTCAACGACAACGAAAATGACCTGAAAACCCTCAAGATTAGAAATTGGAAGGGAATTGCCATGGATAGGAGGCACTGGTGTTAGTGAGCTGTTGAGGCCGACAAGGCCTCCAAGAGAGTGTTGCGAACACAAAGAAGAAGAAGATGGTATATTAAATGAAAAATGTTTTAACCATTAACTTTTGATTTTTAATCATCCGATAGTTGTAAAGGTAATTTATATACAATGAGATGAAATTTAATTACAATTTCTTAACTTTTTTGATACTAAATTAAATATATATTATCACATGACCTAAATATTATCCCATGACCAATATTTAACAGTCAAATAGCAGTTTTAAAGTCAAAATATAGTTTTGCAGTCCTTTATTTATGTAAAGATTCTATCGGATCCTGCTATTAGTGTAATCGGACTCCAATCCGGAGGGGCCGGTTTTCGAACCTTCTACTGTCTACTCCACTAAGATCTACGGAGTACTTATGATGTACCGTTCTCGTGAAATCTGTGGAATCTGATGCTCCTTGGCTGGTTTCCTTCTCCTTCGGATCTATGTCAAAAGTGTGGAAATAGCTTCATGAATGAGTGCTGTTGCCATCCATCCGAGAGGTTCTGTTCGCAAAGGCCAATGGCTGGAGCGTTTGGCTTATCCAAGTTTCATAAGAAACAACTACAATCTCTGTATCCTAGCTGTTTTGAACCCCCAAAAAAATAAAGTAACTTCTAGATCAAGTAAAAAACAAAGGGAAAATGTGTTTTCAGGTAAAAGTTTTTTTTGTGAAACTAAAAATTACTTCTGTTACACTGAGTAAAATAAATAAATAAAAATAAATTTCATGGTAGTCTGACGGTATGAAAACTTTAACCAAACTCTCTGGAAATTGAATTTTTTCAGATAATGAGTAAGAAGTAAGTAAGCAAGCTCACTAGAAAAAAATTTGTTTAAAGTTACAAATGGCCAATTTTATTTGTACTTGCTTCTTTTCAATATATACGCGCATCAACCTAAAATGAAATTTGCATTTTTGCATTTAATTATGATTTCCTACCTATTTCTGATTTTTTTAAAGAAAAAAAAACTATGCAAATATGAAATAAGAAACTTTACTTTAACAAAGACATTTACAAATGTTTATTCTTTCTGCTTTCTTAGTTTCGATAAATCGTACACTGAATATAATTACGTTGTTTTAATAATAAAAACATAAATACCTTTTGTCCAAATTTGAGTCTTATTGGGTTTTCTTCAGTAAAAACTTTCATCACTGCTTGAAGATCTTCAGAATATCTGCACATTGGTCCCACAAAAATGTAGGGTAGATGATCAGGGTGGGGTACTGGAAAACTTCCTGAATTCACAACTAAACCTGAAAAATTTATACAATTATCAAAAAATCTAAATATAAAACTAAAGCATTTACACTGAAGTTTATTCCGTATAATTCATTTTACTTTGTTTTATTTTATAACACAGAGCAAGATATTTGAAAACTAATAGTTTATAAGTTATTGGGCATAAAAATGATTTTTTAATGTTATGTCTGAATACCACTTAAACGAATACGAATTTGATTTAAAATCTTAACTAATCTTGACTTCTGAAACACTTTTTTGATTCAGAATGATGTGAAGAAATATACAATATCCTGTCCGAATAACATACCCTCCAACAACTACGGAACTTCCATAGTTTGAAAAATATTTATCCTGGTCGTATCAGAATTTCTTCAATAACTTTTTTATACTTCGAAGTGTATTGAATTTCGTCCACCATAAACATTAAAACAAATTTAACTAACAAATTTAACAGAAACTAAGACAAATTTATAATATTTTTAAGCATAAGGTCACTTTGATCAATGACCGAGTTCTGAAGTTAAAATTTCATAAAAATGTGTAATTTAAAAATTTAGATCTTAACACTTTACCGACCGGCCGTCGATTAATCGACGTTTTGTTCTCAGCGCTTACCGACCGGTCGTCGATTAATCGACGTTTTGTTCTCATCGTATACCGACCGGCCGTCGATTATTCGACGTTTGCTCCCCAGCGCTTACCGACCGGTCGTCGATTAATCGACGTTTTGTTCTCATCGTATACCGACCGGCCGTCGATTATTCGACGTTTGCTCCCCAGCGCTTACCGACCGGTCGTCGATTAATCGACTTTTGACCGATCTGTGGTGACTACGTTTTCCACCAATTCAGCATGCCCTGAAAAAAATTCAGCTGTCGTTTTCTCGAGTGCAGCTGGGTGCGACCAGATTTTCCTGCGAAAAGAGTCGGGATTTTTCATCGTGCAGCTGGGTGCGACTAGATTTTCCTGCGAGGAAAGTCGGGATTTTTTCATCGATATGAAGGCAGGGATGCCAACTGCTCCGCTTTCTGGAAAAGTTCTAATAAAGTGGTAGCAAAATATTTTGTAAGATTAGTTAAAGAAAGATAGTTACGCCTACTTTTTAATACAGTAACCAGTATATTGATGATTTAACGTTGCATTTTATATCATATTTGTAATTTTTGATATTTAGTGGTGAAGTCCGCGCGTCAGTCTAGGCCGAAACCGAGCCGGTGTCTCGGACGATCTGCAGCTGAACGGGCGGTGAAAGGGCATAGTATGTTCGAACCGCTACCGGTCGGTAAAGTGTTAATACACTACAACTGGAAAAAATAGTTCACAGACGTATCACTGATCTATAAACTTACCTGGCCATATTCTTGCATTTTATTTTGTAAGATTATATTTTTATATTCAAACTAGTAGCTAATTTTTTGCTTTGTCTTTTTAATACTTAGATTTATAAATTTAATTTAAGTAGTTTTAGCCAATTTCAAAGTAAATTATGCATATGTTTGAATGCATGATAAACATCCGACTACGTGCTTAACGCTTAACTTCCGGTAAAGTAGGGAAAAAAATATTCCTTACTGCTAATGTTATTCAATTGTCATTTCATTATCGCATGGGAAAATCATCCTTGGAAGAAGTAGATATTTGGCAGGTTTGTAAATGTTTCTTTAACCCCTTAACGATCGGTTAATTTTCAAGAAGATTGTCATAAAAGTGCCTATTTTTTGGCTTTTGTATTTGTATTACGTATTTGATTAGTGCTGCAACTAGTTTGAAATAAACTAACTATCTACAATTACCTTAAAAATATCCTGGTACTGCCATCAGGTGTGTAAAATGAGAAACAAAATATTTTCCGGGCAAAAGAAATGAATTAGTTTTATTCCTGTTGGCGCGTTACTACTGAACACTCCAGCCCGTCAATATCAGGGGAGCGAGAAATAGCTGGCGAAATCTCACCCCGTCATTTTCACGGGAGCGAAAAGGAAGGGGTTAAACAAGACTGCCTACTTTCTACGCTTTTGGGGATAATTTCTTCTTGTGGCAGCTAAGCTTGTGTTTAAATGTATGATAATTTGTAATAAAAATTTGACTGAACCGTTTACCTGAAGGAATCTTATTTTGCAGTAATAGAAAATATGCTGTTAAAAAGAACGCGGTTGTATATAAATTAATAGGAAATTTTCTTCAGCTAACTACTAATTTTTTGTTAAAAAAAATCGACAATTGTTTGACTTCAGAAAAGATATCTATCACAAGATATATAATTTTATATAATTAATAGATTTTGGTTGATAGGAATATTCAGTCCTTCAAATTGTAAGCACTGAGAATACAATATTTGAGTTGCCAGTCCTTAATATTTTTAAAAGAAAAGAAACGTTCCATAATGGAAATTTAAACAGTAAATTTCCCATACCATTACATAAAAATGATCCAAATGCTGACATAATACGTCACCTTATTTTATATCTCAAAATTATTCAAAATTCTAAAAGCTTCAGCCTACCACTCTTTAAAATATTTTGTTAAAAGTGTAACAGTTTTTTAAATCAGGAATTTAAAACAAACTATTAAAACAGTACTTTAAAATTTTTATCCTTTTTTTCTAGCTTAACCCATTTTGTCCCGCATTTATTTATTGAAATGATACAAAAAGTGGTTATATGGAACCAGTGGTATAATATATTTTCGAAATTAATTGTTTTTTCTACTGTTACGGAATTCAAAAAGTCTTTGATAGATCAAAAAGTACTTGCTCCTTATAATTCTAGATCTAATCAGAAATAACAAAATCATTGTGGTATCTGATAATCTTTTAATTCACCCAAATAAATGAAAATGCTGAAAAAAGTTTCCCACCACAATGAATATTTCAGAAAAAAGGAACTGTCCTAAATATATGACGCTGGGCGTTAACCGGTTAAAGTTTCAAATGTATCTGTCAACTTACCCTTTGAAGGTTTGTGAGAGAAAATTCCACAAAAATGAGCTGGTAAACGGACACTGCCCAGCATATCGTTTCCTACCCCTACAACAGAAGCACCTGCTCCTAGTAAAGCACCTTCTCCTCCTTAAAATATATAATGTAATGCATTATGTATGATGATAATATATAAAATATTACGCGAACATACAAGCTGTCTATTGTAAAAAATACTACCATACAACCTACTAATCTTTTCGTGCTGTTGTTGGATTCTTCCTGATGAAATTTCTAATGTAACATATACTACTAGTGGGCTATGCCACCTGCTTGCTAACGCTCGCCAACCCCCGAAAATTGCTACGCAGTCTTATACGATTTACTTCGCAAACCAAGCTCGCTTCTCTCGCTACTAACTTAGGTACATAGCAAATACAAAAAATTTTAAGAATTCAAAACAATCATTCAAATCCATATAACAGCATTTTTTTTAAAAAAAAATTACATCTTTACATTCGGGGAGTTGTAATGAGCCTTTTTGTTTGTCGCCGTGTGAGAGAAATATATATATAGATTCTGCCGTGCGATTCGCGATTGAAAAAGCAATGTAAGAGGGGAAAAAATTCAAAATTAAGATTTTTCCAGTTTTGGCATCTTTGTATGGTCACATCTACATATTACAAAAAATAAAAATAATAAAAAAGATTTCAAAAATTTACTTTGTTTTATCGAAATTCTATTTTAGCGTTAATAGCATTAGCAATAGAATGAAAATAGCTGCCAAGCAACTTTTTTGGAATCAATCTGAAGCACTTATGTTTTTGAATTGCATGGCAGTAATATTGTTAGTAGTTGTAGTTGTAGACTGTACTAATGAAGAATACTAACCATACAATCTACACTAGGTGCAAAGACATATAAAACTACGACTACGTAGCGTTGAAAACTATTAAAACTGTCATTTCATATTTTTCTCGAACTGTTGTTAGTTTCTACCCGCAGAAATATAACATGTTGTGATATGTACTGTGAGCATTATAACCTAAATATTTTATTTTTATTGATGTTATGAACAGAAAAATTTTATCCGATGATTCTACAGCACACTGTATTCTGCTTAATAGCCTCGAAAATAAAAAAGGAATCACATTGCAAAGCAAAACTTCAGATTTTCTGAAAAGACCATATATTGTGACACCGCAGGATTCAACGAAATTTTTACGTTCGAAAACTTAAGAGAAGACATATACCTCAGGCCGATTGCAGCTCATTTTTGTAGTGACATAATTTTAACTAAAATACAAAATATTTGATTTCCTTTTATTCCAGTTATCAGAAAGAACCACCTTAAAGATTAAATACAAGATGAATGGGAAAAAGGCCGCTAACGGCCCCAGGCGCTCAGTTATATTTCGATGATGATGATGATGATCATGGTTGTCAACTTAAGTTTGCTCATATACAACGTATTTGTTTGCTTAAAATTGAAGTTTTAATTCCAGTTTAATACCACTAGGAAAAATGATAATGGAAGGGATTAAAAGTTGGCAGGTATGCAATCTACACTACGTGCAAAGACATATAAAACTACGACTACGTAGCGTTGAAAATTATTAAAAGTGTCATTTCATATTTTTCTCGAACTGACGTTAGTTTTTACCTGTTATCAAAAGAAAAATTTTATCCGATGATTCTACAGCACACTGTATTGTGCTTAATAGCCTCGAAAATAAAAAAGGATCGTTCATTAAGTCATGCTAAACCTGTATAAATATTGCAAATTGTGGAAGTTAAAATGCGTCACCACCTAAAAGGTTTTGTTAGATCCACAAGACTTCTAGAGATATTTTTCTATAACAAAATATACCACACTATATATGTTGTGTTACAGCATTAAGATCTTTCTATTTCAGCATTAAGATCTTCATTTTTTTATCATTCTTAATATATGCTTTTCGCTTTATTTTGTAGCATAATATCTAAAATAAATACATAAATTTAGTTAAATTGCAATGCTATCAACTAATTTTGATCATCTAGTAAGGAGGCTTTAGTCAAATTTTAACAACAAAGAATAAAACACATTAAACTTCAACTTATGCCTTGTGTACGTATTGTCAAGTCAAAAAATTTTCCATTATTCACTTTTTTATATTCTACATATTTTTTCATATTTTCGTTTTGTATTTTTATTTTGTTAAATATTGCGTGAAAATTTAGAAATTATCTAACATTTTCAAATGGAGTAATTAAAAGCTAAATAAGCCAAGTGAACCATACCATGCAATGTGTTTGCTTTTATCACGAATAAAGTAATTTGATGAGTGTAAAAATTTTATAACAAGACATATTAATAATTTAAGTGATTCCGCATGGATCTCGAACACACAATTGTGGTGATTTTAAGCTGAAATTTAAAGTTAAGCTAAATTTTAGGCATATTTTTTAATCATGAGTTGATAAATTCAATAAGAATTCAATTGTTAATAAGGCTCTGTGGACACTGGACAAACGTCCCCCCTTTTCACAGTTCCTGTTAATTCATAAATAACAGAATAATAAATGAATATTTTACCACTACTTGCACCAGGAGTTCTTGTCGTATCATAGGGATTGCGTGTTTGTCCATAAAGGAGATTGAAGCATTCCAAAGAAAAGCCGAATTCAGGTGTATTTGTATTCGCCAAAATGATACCACCCGCTTTCTTTATTAAAGCAACACAATGAGCATCTTCTTCTGCAATCTGATGTTCAAATAATTTACTGCCAGCAGTACAAGGAAGTCCTGGACATAAAAAAAAAATATTTCATTGGAATGAAATACAAGCAATGGCGTATGCCACGGTTGGAACGGTTTTCGACAAGATACGGTTAAAACCATGGTTTTTAACGACCAGTCAAAAGCTATTTTAAATCGTCCAAAGCAGAAGAGTTCATCTGCCAACTGTCAAAACTCTTCTGATAGTTCATGACAAAATACTGCACTAAAAGATTGAGAATTCATCAATAAATTATAATGTAAAATTAATATCATATTAATTAATGAGAATTTTAGCATTTAAAATATATTTAATAACAAGAAATAAATTAAAACTCGTTGGTTTTATACCTTCTACTTTAGTCTAAAACTAGATTATAGTGTTGTTTCATGTTAACATTGCTCAATAATTACCAAAAAGAGAATGGAAAAAACTATAACAAATAAAAAATTTATGTTTTTAATTAAAGAACTTATTAAATGTAGAACATATTGAAATATAAATTAAAATGAAACAACAGCACTTGTTTTGTCTAAAACTATTATTAAATTTAATTAAAATTATTTACAGATAGTACTTGAGTTTATTCTACATAAATGTGTGTAATCATATGTTTGAAAGCGTATAATGTAATCTTAAATAAAGAATAAATCGTAGAACTTAAATATTTTTGAACTAATATTTAAATTTTTAATGAAATATTATTTAAAGTATCAGTAAAAAATTTTTTTTGATAAGCAAGTTATAATACGCAGGATTGGAATTATGATCACATTCAGAGTTGTATTGACTTTCCTTGCTTTAACCCCTTGGGGACGGGTGATTCAGAAAAGCACTCGTACAAAATCAAAATAAAGTTATAATTCAATAAAAAACGGTAACTTAAATGTAGTCGTTGCTAATTTGACAGACTTACTTTGTTTTTACTTCAATTATTGTTAGTTTAATCATATATATAATCAATGTTAAGTCAAAGTATAACTAAATAGTTTTATTTTGAATAAAGTATTGGTGAATAAAGTGAATCAAACAATTATAACTCCGCCCACAAATAAACTGCTAAAGAAATACTTTGATTACCAGTTTTATATTTTTACCCTGATTGATACGGTTTTATGCTGTCACGTATATGTGACAGTCGCCGCGAAAGGGTTAATACAATTTTAAATTACTTCGAACTTTGACAAGAAATTCTTGGTGTCGTGTCAAAAACACCTAATCCTGATGCATTTTTTCCTAAAAAAAAATTAAGAAACTGATTTTTCTTTTACTAAGACTTTCGTACTAACAATTATAATGCATAGTTGTAATGTACGTGGAGTTACGTAATCAGGGTGACTGGTCCTAACAAATTTATAATAGTAGTATTATTTATTTTGCGTTAATATAAATGGAAACGTAATTTCCTTCAAGATACCGTTTTTAGTTCTGAAATTCTCAGACAGATATATTTCCTTCAAAAATTAACAAGGCTGAATCTAATAATCTTTTTCGCAAAATATTTTACTGAGAGGTATACAATTAAAAACTAAAGTTTTCTGAAACTTGTGCATTTTTGCCAACATTTTAAAAACCAGGCGACGAGAGAACAGGATAAAGTGGTGTTTCAGATTTACTTTTTAATCATTCACCCGTACTGGTGTGCAAAATAACTTCAATCAAATCTAATTGTAAATTTGCAAATCAAAGAACGACTTATTAAACTTAGCTACAACTAGAAGATATTTTTTCAAAAAGCGATGAACGGTGGCAGCCCAATCTAAATAATTACTTCTTAGAAGATATTTATGGTTAATTTTGCAATGTTTTCAGAGATGCCAACCTTCTCCGGACAGCAAATAAATATTTTAAAGTGGCAGTTTATCAATTGTGATTCTTGGTTTATTAAATTCAATTTAGTAGATTTTTATCCACCACTATTTCTAAATATTTCGCAGGCTTATGTAATTTACCACTTTTAAAAAGTTATATCATGCCATACCCTTTAATAACCATGCAAAAATAACCAAGTAGCACATAATTTTAGATAATATCAGAAATTCGGTAAAATCTAACGTCATCTTGCACAACTTCTAATATTAGAAAGATACAAGAGGTCGCTGTTTGCTCTGCGTTATATAATATTGGATTCTATGCAAACTAATATTATTTAGCGTTCGCTGTAATATTATTTTGCATTAGGTTAATTTTGCAATGTTTTCAGAGATGCCAACTTGCTTCGGACAGCAAATAAATAGTTTAAAGTGGCAGTTTATCACTTGTGATTCTTGGTTTATTAAATTCAATTTAATAGATTTTTATCCACCACTATTTCTAAATATTTCGCAGGCTTATGTAATTTACCACTTTTAAGAAGTAATATCATGCCATACCTTTTAAAAACCATGCAAAAATAACCAAGTAGCACATAATATTAGATAATATCAGAAAATCGGCAAAATCTAACGTTATCTTGCACAACTTCTAATATTAGAAAGATACAAGACGTCGTTGTTTGCTCTGCGTTATATAATATTTGATTCAATGCAAACTAATATTATCTAGCGTTCGCTGTAATATTATTTTGCATTAGTTTTGATGCTATATAATATTAGATTTTCTCTGTGTTTTTTAAAGGCTCCACCATAAGAAAGTAGCGTATCTTATAAGCCTTTGAGTAATTTAGAAATAGTGGGGAGTAAAAACCCTATAAATCGAATTTACTAAACCAAGAATCTTACTTTAAAAGACTACCTTTATCCCCTGTTCGAATAAAGTTGGTATCTCCGTTAATTATAACTTACCTACCACTATTTACTTTTACTCGGACAATAAATATTTATATATTGTTGTTATAATAATAATAAAATAGTCCTGGTGGTATGAAACATTTTACCATATCAAAAACAAAATAGATATTAGTTTTTACAGCCAATTTTTTTCTTTCAAAGTACCAAACAGCTTTGCATTAAATAACAGCACACAAAAACAACCATTTGCCTATACGTAAACCGTGATGTTTTCCATCAAAAACACTCTCCTGAACAGTTAAATAATGTGACCTGTAATTATATTACCCACAAAATACAATACTTAATTTTCTAGGTAATTATGCAAATTCAAATAGCTATTTTAAATGACTATATCTTCAAAGCAATACATGATATCTCTCACCTTTAACTTTTATCAGAAGCTTAATAGTAAATGGCACGCCAAAGAATGGTTTTTCATCAGCCAGTTGTTGCTTGGAAAATGATTCAGAGTACGTAATTTCGCTGATTATTTTATCAACTTCTTTTGCTTCTTCTAAAGCTTCGGTGAAACGATCTTGAACAACAGCATTTATGTATGGCTCAACTTCTAAGATTCTATTTACGTAGGCTTGAACTACTTCTTCACTTTTTACCTTTTAAGTTGGAAAAAAAAACATGGTGGGAAAAACATATATTTTCAAAGAGAAAAAAAATTTATGAAATAAAATGGCTTTTTTTAAATATTTAAAACTTTGTTTTAAAAAAATTAAAGAGCCGGAAAGCAAAATAACGAAAAGGTATAATCTCGCCATCAGCTCTCACGATTATATCTGCAAACAAGAGTGCTTTCTAATATTGTATTAAAATAGCGAAAGGAAAATATATCAAACAATTGTGGGAAGAACACCAAAAAATGAACATATTAAGCAAAAAATACAAAATAAAACAATATATCAAGTAATAATAGAAGAAAACACAAAATGTTACATATAAGACGGGTAAAGTCAAATGTATTTAATCTTATCAGAATCGGTAAGAAATGGTTCAAAATGTTTTCTTAACAAGTTAGCCAAATTATAAAATATGAAAGTAAAAGCGTAAATAGAAGATAGAGGGATGCCTTTCATGGCATGCACAGAAGCGCATTTGATTTATTAGTTATATGCGACTCTCCAGAATGTGGATGTGCTCAAGGTAGTAATATTATACTGGATAATTCAAAGTTTATAATTAATAAAAGGTTTAATTTTGATCATAAAATTTTAACTTGTATGATTTTTAGAGAAATTATTAACATTTATTGAAAAAATTGTTATTGAAAAAAAATTCTTTATTAAATATTCGAAGACCGAAGCTGCCTGAATTGGATTTGTACATGGTAAAAAAAAAATAATTTTAGTTAACAAAGAAATTTTTTACGTAAATCCAATAAATACACTCATTAAAATAAATTTATAGATTTGTTTTATTGAATTGAAATAAATTCGTTAATAATTATAACATACAATTAACTTAATGATTTAATGTAGAATTTAATTACATTAGTTGGATAGCCATTGTTTTTCTTTATGAAATTTTGGAAGAGTTCGTCTAATTGTTTTTTGGATAAATTAAAAGCTGCGAAATAATTATTAAGATTTATTTCTAATCCTTTCTAAAATGGCTGTAGAAATTTTAAACATAAATGGTGTTATAGTACCACATACTGTCATACCAAATGGTGGTAGCAGGCTTGCCTATTTCGGGCAATAGCATATGCGTATATATTATACGATACTCAAGATATGGCTCGAGGGGTGCGTAAGGAAGTAGCAGCATTACGGTTAATATATTGTTTAAAACTAATTTAGGTGAGAGTATTAGAGGAGATGAAGAATCAGAAAAACAGTTGAGCTGAGCATTCGGCTTAGTTTGTATTAAAGTTCATGTGCTGTGCAAGATAATTTTGGATGGTGATCAAGCTTAGCCCTGCATCAAGCTAGTCGCCGAATGGGGAAGACTATCCGTTGACAATTCCAACTTTTATAAATCAAAATAGTGTTACTTAAATGAATTGAAATAAGCATGTTCTATATAATATTCAATTGATGCTTAATAATCGTAGTGGTAGTTACGCTACAAACTAAATTTATTACTGCAAGTACTTACATTAGTAAATTATTCGGAGCAGAAAATTTAGGTGGTGTTTTATGAGTATCCTAAAATTAGTAGTTTAACAAATTTATTACGCAGTTAAGTAAATTTCAACGTAATTACTGTGTTAAAAAATTGGTTCATTTAAAATTTTTATACATGAAATTTGAGCATAATATCACACTTTAACAGAATTTTTTTTTCCTAGGGAATTTCCATGGCTGAATTGATTATGATATTTCATTTATTATAATGAAGGATATTTTAACTGCATTTTAATATAACATAAATTAATTTTTAACTTTCAGTAGCACGTAGTGCGCAAAACAAAGAATATTTCAACTCTACGTAGTAATACAATCTGAATAATTCGTTGAAAATTGTAAATTTGGCTTTTAAACAATGGTTATTCCTTTCAAACATATTGCATATTTTTGTACCCATCAAAATCTCAATAAGGAAATAAAATTTGAAAAATAATCATTTACTTTTCCTTCCCGTATTTCTTCGGCAAGTTTAGATGCAGATTTGAGTAGAAGAGGATACTTGATTGGTGGAACAATTTGTTTTTTACCTTTATGGTAGAAAGCTAAAATAATGTGGATGAAAGAGTATAACACTCGATACAATGAATGCGCTAACCAAAATACCACACCCATGGTATATCACCTTAGTTTCATCACAATTTTTTCAAATCTGTAAAATGTTTAAAAAAAAATTATATTTTAATGACACAATACAATAGTTTTCAGAAAATTAAATTACTTTTCTTAATGTTTAATTCCTTATTTAAATTAAGCTAAATATTTCATTTCAGACGCTGTTTTAACAAAGTAAATGTTCCGTTTAGTTAACCGTATTGTAAGATATTGGCTGGGGCCGCAGTTCCGGGCAAGGGCCCCCATCCGGGGGGGGGGGAAGGTGGGAGCACGATGCGCCCACTTAAAGCTTGGAGTGGGGGAATTTTTACACTAAATAAAACGAATAGTTTGGGGGGGGATTTAGAATTTGCCCAAGAATGCGCCCAAGAGCTTGGGGGGGGGATGTGGGCCACTGGTTCCGGGGGTAGCAGAGGGGACTTCAGCATCTTCACATTTTTTAAAGGGACACAGCCCCTTCTAAGATTGCAATTTTTGTGTAATTAAATTTAAAATTTTTTTAAAATTGATAAATTTTACGTCTGAATTCTTTAAAAAACGTCATCCTTTACTTATCCCCCGCAGAGAAAACGTACGTCTCTGTAGCTGAATGATGGAAAAATATTTTTGTTCAAATATGTTACAGCGAACAGATTCAAAATTACAATTGTGAACAGAAAAAAATACAGTTGAACGGGATATAAATAATTTACCGGTATAAAATTTCCTTTATTAATTTTATTTTAATTTTAAAGCGATTGGAACCATGAAGTTAAATTTTTTATACAGGGAGGGAGAGAGTCCCCCCCCCCACACTTGAGATAGCTCCGTTGTCACTGCAAAAAATTAATGTAATACATTTTCAAGTATACTGGCATGCATNATGAAAATATTAGTAACGAGAAGAATTATGAGTTTTAATTTAATATCTTATCTGAGATAAAAGCTTTGATTTTGTTATTTTAACATTTTACAAGAATTAAATAAGGTCCCATATTAGTTATTAAATACCATACTACTAAATTGCGTTCTGCGATATACATTATTAAAAATTATCTCTTTCCATAAGAATGACTCAGTATAAAGATTAATTATTTTAATTGACTACATTAAAAATTGATGATATAGATTAATTTTAATAAAAACAAATTACAGCGATTAATTTTACAATAAAAATATTATATCGATTAAATTAACTAAAAACTAATCATATCGATTATTAACTAATGCACTTAATCGATTAATTTATACCAAGTTTTTATAAATAAAAACGATTAATCGATATAAAATATCGATTAAATCTATATCGAAATAATAACAGTCACTGCTATTTGTCACTGTTACTTTTGGGTCCCAGTAGCAGAAGTAACAGTGACTGAAAAGTAGCAGTTTTGCCCATCTCTATTACAGCGAACAGATTCTAAAATATAATTGTGAACAGAAAAAAATACAGTTTAACGGGATATAAATAATTTACCGGTATAAAATTTCCTTTATTAATTTTATTTTAATTTTAAAACCATTCATGTGCAGCATTCAAGGGGATATTTTCCAACGGGATGTCCCTCGCCCTCGTACTGCTGTTGTTACAAAACATGCTCTACAGAATGTCGATATGTTAACTTGGCCTGCTAGATCACCAGATCTTTCACAAATCGAGTACGTATGGGACACTATTGGATGACAAATTCAGCGTCATCCACAACCAGCATTAACTATCCTGGTATTGACTGATCAAGTGCAATACACATAGAACTCTATTTTACAAAAGCATTCAATTGAGTATTTTTCAACGGGATATCGCTTGCCCTCATACTGATGTTGTTACCCAACATGCTCTACAGAAAATCGATATGTCAGCTTGGCCTGCTAGATCACCAGCTCTTTCACAAATCGAGTACGTACGGGGATACTATTGGATGACAAATTCAGCGTCATCCACAACCAGCATTAACTCTCCTCGTATTGACTGATCAAGTGCAACAGACAAGTGCAACTCCATTCCACACAAGGGCATACGGCATCTGCATGACAGAAAGCATGCCCGATTGCATGCTTACATTCAAAATTCTAGTGGTTGCACAGGTTATTAATGGATCAGTATTTCACATTTTAAATGGTTTTTCTCTTAATTGCATTAACCGTATATATTATATATATATTGAAATTTAGCATATCGTCATATCGTTTTGAAATGCTTGGCTTAAGATGCAGGTTTAGATACAGACGATCATTTAGTACGCAATCGTAGATGATTCAAAAAACGCATGCGTCTTTACGTCTACATATCATGCATGATAGGACTTCCGTGGTCGACTGCCAGACCACTGGTATTTTCCAGTAGATCTTCCTTGAAGTTTCGCAGGGCTACGTAATGGTCGTTCATGGGATAAGGCAACGCCTCCTATAACTGAAAGCCTCCACACGGTTTTTTATAGGTATTCCGATCAGACCACTATGAAGGATATCCACTTACCGAACGAGTCATTTAATACAGAATATAGTTAAAATAAGAAAGTGGTAGGAAATATATGACTAAAAATTTATTTTATTTATGAATATTATTAGTTTGCCTTATTCACTTGTCAACCACTGCAGATTCAATTCTCAAATATATAAGATAAATTTCTCTCATTTACTTTATAGAATGTTTTGGGTTCATGCGCACAACTGGTTCACTTTTTAAACAGTCTGCGCGGACTACTTATAAAAGACCGTGTGGAGGCTTCTTGATGTAGGAGGTGATGGATAAGGCATGGGACGAATCATAAAAGATGTTGCAATTGACGGCTAATAGACATATACTTAGCGATTTTTTTGCAATATGGGAACTGCCTTTATGAAACAAGTGGGAGGGTATTTACTCTTTAACAAAGTACACTCATGTCCATAAATTAAGGATAATTCAGAGTCACACGGAAATCAAACTCTAAAATTAAAATTTCACCTGTAGAATTATCACACACATCCTGAAGAAGAATATGCAAATTACAGGAAACCACTAGATGACGCTGGTAGTACGTCACAATGACGAGAGTGTAAGAGAGGGGTATATAAGGAATGGTGGCAAAGAAGTAAAATTGTTCACAAGCGCTTTAAAAGCCTTTCAGTGCAATAACCGCATAGTTATGGCACAAAGGAAGCATTTGGATGATTTTTTACGTGGCAGAATCATCGGTAAATGGACGTAAACAGCTGAAAGTATCCGAGGAACTAGGAATCACCCAGAGTGTCATCTCCAGGCTTTGGCAACGATTCCAAGACGATGGTAATGTGAGTAGACGTTACAGCACAGGTCGCCCCCGAGTTACAACGCCGAAGGAAGACCAGTATTTGGCAGTTACTGCCAAAAGAAACGGACGGAGCACAGCATCAGACCTGTCTCGCCAGTTCTCTTCAGCTACCAGTACGACAGTTTCAAGGCAGACCGTGTACAGATGCTTAGGGCACATTGGTCTAGATCAGGGATGGGGAAACTACGGCCAGCGGGCCAACTGTGGCCCGCCGGAGGATTTTATCCGGCCCGCGGATAGAATTTTTATTTGCCGATCAGCGGCAAATATAAACAATATACATCCATTTTATTGTCGACTATGTTTAAAATTATTTCTGTTTTTCCTTTTTTAACAAAGTACTGATGACATTTTTACTTTCTCTATTTTTGTTCTACAAAACATAAATTGATGGAAATAGTTAGCACAGACNATTGGCCAGCATACTCACCGGACTTGAATCCAATAGAGCATGTGTGGGATATGCTTGGCCTACGAATTGCAGCCCGTCAACCCCCCCCCACCTGTCTGCCGGACTTTCGGAGGGCATTGCTTTATTAGTGGTGTACTATTCCCCAAGATCAGATTGATAATTTGATACTCAGCATGCCTAGCCGTTGTACGGCCTGTATTGCATCGTCTGGGAGACATACTCCGTATTAACCATCATACTAACCATGTTATATTGTTTTTTGTAAATAGGTTCTTTTTTAAAATTTGCTCCAGGGAGTAAAAATCGCAATTTTTATTAATTATGTCAAACATATAGCATCTTTTTTGCTATTTACCTTTTGTTTAATACATAGACTTTACAAATAAATCAAATTTGTTTGGCTTCTGTCTCTTTCTGTGCCTGAACTTCATTATCCTTAGTTTATAGACAAGAGTGTAAATATTTATCAATCTTAGTTACCGTTAGTTAAAAGAAATCGCAATTTATTAATAGAATGATTATAAGTAATATGACAGGTGATTATAATAAGTAATAATACAATCAATCTATTAATAGAATGATTTCAAATCAAACAGAATCATCTTAATAATATATTAGGGGGATAGAAACGTCCCAGTCTTGCAAAATCAATGCTTAGAATGTAAAAAATAAGTTATCACTCTTTTATGAATAAAAAGAAGGCATAGGAATTTTCAAAATGAGTACATTGGCACTTAAATGGAAAATAAAAATTAAAAACGGATCACAAGTGCCAAATAAAAGTTTAAGCTAATCGCTCCAACAATATACAGATGCAATTGATAATTTTGCAACAAAAGTAAATAAGCAATAATATTTACACGCGCTTAGACGAAAGACGGTATATTTATTTATTCCTTACAAGATATATATTGTATGGAATTGTACGGTCATTATATTAAGCCCCGTTTTTTTCTGTTGTATTCTATACCTTAGACGTACGTTTCAACATACTTTCAGAAACTAGTAGCAATATTTCTTTTTATAAAGTTTAACGCAGTATAAAATGATGAAAAAAGAAAGAGAGGGTTAATGTTTCAGTCGAATATATTACGGTAGAGTACCCCAGATGTAAAACGTTCACACTGTACCTTTTGGGAAAATGAGATAAAGAAAATGAACTTGCCCTTTTTTTCAATTTTTATTAATTTAATATTTCAATTTTCCAAAACAAAATTGCAATTTAAAAGCCTTTTTTTAATAAACCACAAAACTAATATTTTTAGATTACCCTAAATAAAATGAGACACAAAATCAAGACCAAAATAAAAACCTTCTTATCTGATTACATTGCGTTCCAGAAGAAACAAATAAAAAACAAAAAGAATATTTACCTTTCTAAAAAAAGCCACTCTTCTTCTCAATGCAATTTTTAGTATAAAAATCACAAAAAGTCGCTGGAAGCGAAGGAAAAGTAATATTAAATAATCTCTAAGATTAGATATCTCTATGTAAAAATCTTATCAATTACATTTTTAGCCTTTAAATCAGTCAATGATCAAAGGTCTACCTTATGATAATATAAGGAAAAAAAATTATCTATTGACACAGCAACAAAGCTTATCAGATCTAACAGTCTGATCTTCATCAGTCTACAAGGTAAATTTTTTAAATAAAATGGAAAGGTCGGTTAATGTTCATTTGATTTATGGAGAAATACCGCTGAGGTTCTCTCCAAAATGGAAAAAAATAAATAAATAAAAGTACTTTTATTTTAGTAAGTGAATCAATGGATCACGTATTAAATAAAATCATGTATAACAATTATTTTCACATAATCATTTATAATTTGAATAAAATTATTCATAAAATGAATTATACAAAACTAGAAGTGAATTTGATCATAAAGTAAAAATCATGGCCAGCGCAAATCTTATTTCAATTTTCATTTGGTTTACTTAAATATTTTACACCTTTTGTAAATGACTGATTTATCATTTATTAATTTTTACACGCAATTTGACTTACATTTTTATAATAGAAGATAGGATGTTGAAAAAAAAATAAAAATGTATTAACGGATAATTTTACTTATGCATAACGGGAAAGATAATCTGACGAAATCAGAAAATGAAAACTTTGATTTTCAAACTTCTTTACGAAAAAACTATTCGAAAGATTTCACTCATTAAAATTTTTTCTTTTGTAATTAAAATTTTTTGACCAGCATTACATTAAATAATAATCCTAAAGATTTATATTTTACATAAAACTATTAAATTATCTTTTGAGGAGTATGTAAATGAAAACAATGAAGAACAAAACAATGTAGAACAAAACAATGAAAACACTTCTATACTAATACAAGTTTGATATTTATCAAAAAAATCATGTTAATAAAAAATCGTTTTTTAACTTCAAAACTGCTTATTTCATGTAATTCCTCATACATAGCAATGAAGTTTAAATATTTTAGATGTTTGAGGCACCAACAATAAATTACCAACTGAAAATATTGTTTTTGAGCATCCTATGCCAATTAATGTAGCCATAAGTTCGTAACTGGTAACAATTATTTTGGTTATATTATGCAATATTTTCACAAAATATTTCAAACGTAGCTTAAATATTTATGGAAATATGAACATTTTTACAAAAGAACATTTCAAACAAAAAAAAACTAATTTTTTTATTTTATTTTATTATATTTCTTTGCTATAACTTCAAAACTATATAATGAAATTTTTTAAAAATATGGGATCAATTTAAAATTAATGCTTTGAAATTTGAAAAAAATTCGTTAGAAACTGTGCGAGATACGAGTAATTCAAGTAGTTCCTTTATACTGCGCATGGGCGAAAAAATTTTTATAGTGAATCGTATTTGATAACTAATAAAAATAGTCCGATTTAAATAGCTGAAAAACTTAAAATAATTTCAAGCGATTTTCTAAGTAGTTTTCATACTTTTAAAAGAAAGCTCAAAATAAGGGGTTTTACACAAATTTAATTTTGTACCATTAAACAAGATTTATTACAAATTATACCCGCATTGATGGGGATCATCTCCCATAAGAGTATGTTTTCTTTCCTTATACAATTACATTTTGATGCAAGAACGTTTATTGCAAGGTATTATCATTTGTTACTAAATTTTGTCTTATGATACAAAATAATATTTGTAGAAAACATCTAATCCTTTTGATCTTTCTTTTGAAAAACACAAAAACTACTTCGAAAATCGCATGAAACTTTTTAAATTTTTAAGATATTCAAAGTGAATTTTTTTTCATTAATTGCTAAATGTGATTCCCTACAAAATTAAGTGAAATTTTTTTAACATTTTTCTTCGAGCATGCGCAGTGTGAGAGAATTACTTATATCTTACTCAGTTTTAACAAATTTTTCTTAAATTTTAAAGCTAAGATTTTGCATATGGTTTGAAATTGTTTCAATTTTTTTTAGTTTTATTAAATATATTTGAAATTATTGCAAAAAAAATGTAATACAAAAAAAAATTAGTTTTTTTTATAGGAATGTCCATACCTCCATAAATATTTAAGCTATGTTTACGAAATTCTGCGAGAGATCATAAACCAAAATAACTGTTATAATTGCAAACTAATTGTGGCATTTTTTGGTGTAGGGTGCTCAAAAACACTATCTTCGACTTGCAATTTATAGTCGGTCCCTCAAACCTCTAAAAGCTTTGAACTTCATCGATATGTATGAGCAATTGCATGATCCAAGCATTTCAGAAGTTTTAAAATGATTTTTGAGTATTTCTTAAGAAGTATGAGGTAGGTAGGTAAGTATTTTATTTACGTCGCACTAGATCTAGTGATCTCGGTCTGGGAAACAGCCCTGAGGTTAATTCAAAGACATCCATTGCAATTTTGATGATCTGCAGGGTGGGGGGGGGTGGCTCCCCTGCTTTGGTAGGCCGATGACCTGTGCGTGAAGTTGAGCACTTTGCGGTAGACCAGTTTAACGAGGACCGATACTGCGCACCCTCGGTCCCTACACAGGCCGATAAAAGAAGCCTCCCACCCGCTTCCTGACAGCAGTCAATGAAGCTTGACTTCGGCATTCTACTGAGAACAGTGTCTTTACGATTAGTCCACTGCGGGGCTGAGAAATATGAAAAAAATTTCGTTAGTATAGAAGTGTCCCTTTCTTGTCCAGCCTCTATATGTGTATTTGTTTATATCCCTGTATTTTTCCAGTTTGTAAAGGAAAACTCAAAATTCCTTTCATTTTTCCCTATTAATTTTGGCGATTTTTGAATTCTTTGTATTTTCCAGATTTTCTCTGTGGAGTGGAGAAATCTTGCATAACTTCTTTAAAAAAAAAAGCTGTTCTCTAGAAGTCATTAAACGAGCGGTTGACAGCAGACCGCCAGTTCTGGCGCTTCGGAACTATAAAAGATCTCTTGGCCCTGAAGTGGCAACATACCGAGCCTTAAGACATCTGCAGTAAAAATTGAGCACTCAAATATATATGTTTTGGTGTAAGTTGGGAATCTGGGCTGTTTTTACAGTGGATATATGATCTTGCACTTGCATTATCGAGATGGGTTTTCATGCCCTTACAATGTTTTGTCATTAGTTTGGTTAATCTAGATGCAACATCTCTAGGACAATCGAAGTCTGTGATCAGTGGTTTCCTGTTGGACCTGTTAATTTGTCTACATTGGTTACTGCATTTGCATAAACGAGGGTGATTACTTTATTGGATTGGCTGTTACCACCGGCTTCTTTGGTCAAAAGATCAGCACACTCACTGCCTATTATAGTACACAGTATTTTCCCCCTGTAATGAAGCTGATTTAATAGATTGTTAATAGAGGAGGTGATGTTACCTTCTCCATTTTTAATTTATAGTCAGAGAAAACGACTAACCCTTCTGAAAGGTCTAGAGCTAAAAGAGTTGGTCTAGTAAAAGCCCGCCAGAAATTTACAGGTGAAATTAGAAGCAATTTGACCTGCACTGATTTGATGTTTGGATGGCTCTCTTCCGGAAAGGTTGAAGAGAATGACAGCATCTCTTTCGTTGAGGAAGCTACGATATATGTGACAGCTAAGTTCCCCTGAGATAGCTTAAATATAATATCTGAGAGTGTTGGGATCTTCATTTTCTGGAGGCTGGTTGCTGCAGTTTTCGAAAATTCTTTGTATTTTTCAGGTGCCTTAGTTGGGAGCATGGGTTCTTGAAGAAAATTCAGGAGGAATATTTCTGTTGGATACGCCTTCTAATGTATCTGTCATATTGGAGAGTAGAGGATCTTTTAAGTCGAGTAGAACAATTCCAGTTGTTGAGAATTTTTTTGGAGACATTATCAGAGTTGCTGCAATGAATCTTGTTGAAGGTGGCCAAGTTGCGCATACTCTCTAAAGGTGCTAAGCCACATTCCTGCACAGCTTTCTCGTTGTTGTTGGAAGAAACGGCACCAATAATAATTTTAGAATGCCTGTGTTGAACGGAATCAAGTTTCTGCTTGACTGTAGTCGAGGTTGGGACCCGCATCGGGGTAGCACATTCCAGGACTGACCCAATGATCGTGTAGTTGATGCTTCTCACAGTTAGTGGTCTTGAGCCCCAAGTAGTACCACACAATTTCCTAAGAATATTGTTTCCTAATAGCTCTATTAGCAGTATGTTCTATGCGCTAAGTGAAGCGAAATTCAGTATCTAATTTAATACCTAGATAAGTTGAGAAATCAACCCTCTTGTATGAGAGTCCTTGATTTTGATGTTGACTTTGGATGTGTTTCTATGTCGTTTGTCAGTTTAAAAAATGCAGTAACTAGTCTTATCCGCATTGATGATCAATTTTAGCTCTTCTGCCCAAGTAAAAATGCCACTCCAAAGTCATGTTCAGGTACATTTATGTTTCTGTGCAAGTGCCAGATAGCGATATCATGGTTATTGCATAGGATATTAGTGTCAGGAAAGATCAATTAATTGTATTCAGATAAATCAAGAAAAGTAGCGGATTAAGAACCGAACCCTGCCCACAACTAATGTTGCTCTGTGAGAGCACTCCATTATACTTTACAGAAAATCTTCTTTCATTTAGAAAGTCGTTAATCCAAATCAGGGCATTGCCTTTGACTCCAGTATGATGGAGAATGTGGACCAATTTTTGGCGCAATACCCTGTCCAAAGCAGCTGAGGTCTAAAAACACTGCTACAGTTTTACGATGAGGTTCATCTTGGAAATTATCAATTATGGACTGGCTCAGGTAGAAAAGTTGATCAACAGTGATATGATGGGCTAGAAAAGCAATTTGACAGAAATGGAATTTATGTGTGCTAAGAGTCAAGTCATGAGTCGATCAAGTTCTGCTAAGTATCAGAAAGGATCCATATCTACCATTATGTGATACCAATAAACCATGTTAAGGTTCTCTATGATTCGCAGTCTGTTCTGAATTAGGCGTAACCCTCGAATAAAATTAGCTTTAAAAGTTGCAGGTATTACAAATTTTTCAGTTAATGTTAACAGGCATAACAGGCACACACGTTTGAATTCTTTTAAATAAAATTAATTGCTCATTAAAATAAAATGAATTTATTACTAAATAAATTAAAAAATACATTTTCTAAAAATTGTTTTTTTTCAGTTAGAAATTATTTTTCTTTTTGAATTAAGCATTTAGTTTCCCCTCCCCCCCCCAACAAATTAAAATGACACTGTCGTGTATCTACTCTTCCCATCATTAAATCTTCATATGACGAATAACTAGTATAAGACTTGATGCTTTATAATCCAGAAAATATGAAATTAAATCTTAAATATACACTGATACTACAAAGCATTAATTTATACAGTTTCTCATGAGTAAAAAGAGAATATAAAACTGGAAAAAAAGTGAAATTATTTAAAATTTTGCACTAATGTTATGAATTTATTGAATCTATTTAATGAATTTAGTGAACTAAATAGTGATTGGATTTACCGACTAAAAAGACATCTTAAATATGCACAAGCAAAAGGTATTTATTGACATAACAAAGAATTAATTGCACAACTATACAAAAACATATAGCAATAAAAACAAAAATTAAAAGCAAGAGTGAAAAAATATTTTTACATTATAATTTAATGAAATAAAAATACTAAAATAATGGTTAATTTTTCCCATTGGTATGAGAAAATGAATTTGGTCCATAAAGGGTGAAAACAACTTTCCAATATTTGATGGAAAAAAAAAGTTCAGTTATGAACAATAAAATCTGCTGAAGGACAACCCACAGAAATACATATATTCTTTATCTGTTTCTGCGACAAATATACATGAAATTGTATACAAAAGTGAAAATATATTTTTACAACATAATTCAAGAAATTTGGGAAAATAAATATACTAAAATAATGGTTAATTTTTCCTATTGGTATGAGAAAATGAATTTGATCTATAAAGGGGGAAAACAACTTTCAATATTTGATGGAAAAAAATAAAAAGTTCAGTTATGAACAATAAAATCTGCAGAAGGACAACCCACAGAAATACATAGATTCTTTATCTGTTTCTGCAACAATTATACATGAAATTATATATAATAGTGAATATTAATACAACATAATTCAGGAAATTTAGGAAAATAAATATACTAAAATAATGGTTAATTTTTCCCATTGGTATGAGAAAATGAATTTGGTCTACAATGGGGGAAAACAACTTTCCAATATTCGATTGGAAAAAATAAAACGTTCAGCTATGAACTATAAAATCTGCTGAAGAACAACCCAAAGAAATACACAAATTCTTTATGTGTTGCTGCGACAAGTATACATGAAATTGTATACATGAAATTGTATACAAGAGTGAAAATATATTTTTACAACATAATTCAAGAAAGTTGGGAAAATAAATATACTAAAATAATGGTTAATTTTTCTCAATGGTAAAATGAATTTGGCCTATAAAGGGGAAAAACAACTTTCCAATATTTGACAGGAAAAAATAAAATTTATACAAAGACTGAAGAAGGTAGAAAAAAATGAGATAGTCAGTTATGAACTACAAAATCTGCTGAAGGACAACACACAGAAACACATAAATTCTTAAACGGCAGTATCGATAGCTTTTTTGAATAATAAAAAACCACTGTAAGCTCATACAAACTAAACTAAAAAATATGAAAATGTACAGACAATATAACATCCATAACATCTAAAGTTACTACACTGTAATGCACAAAAAAAGTATCTCCATCATGTAATGGGGAAAAAAATCTTTTCGTTACAAATAAAAAAAGTTTTTCAATCACATAATGCACCAAATGTAGTAGTCCAGTTTAAAAAATACTCTTTATCAAAACTTGGTTTTATAGTTGGAATTATTGAGAGAAAAGGCATCACAACAGGAGTTAAGCTGGTTGCAAGCTCAAATGAGAAAGATTGGATAACAAATCTTTTACATCAGTATCAACCTGCAAAGCAATATGCAATAAATATAAATGAGAGAAAAAAAAAGAAAGATATAATCATTTTTTGACAGTTACTTAATCAAGAATAATTGCTAACTTTTTTAAATATTTTTTTGCATTTTATGTATAATGTATTTTGCATGCCAGGGTGCGTAGCCAAATTTTTCAACAAAAAATAAGTACCTTTTAAGCCTTCAAGAAATGTTTTTATCATTTTCCCAAAAAAAAGAAAAATCATAATTAGGTTCTGCAAAGCAATAACAATTATTTTATAACTAAAAAAACATAAAAATAATAAAATTCAAAAACTTTGTATAATCATAATAAAATAACTAGTTTCTGATAAAGATTGCAGAGAAAATTGTGAAAATAATGCATTTTTTGTAATTTAGAATGACAATCGACAAGGCAAAGAAGAAATCTTTTTCTAAAAGATAGAAAATTAAGCACTTTTTACAAACACCAAATAAAAAAAAAGCACCTTTAAGCTCTTTTTTAAAAATGCAACAACACAACCTGCATGTTTAACATGAAATTCTCAAGCTGATTATAGCGTAACGTGAAAGAAAATTAGAAATGCAGATGTAAGCACACATAATAAGCATGTTTATAAAGTGATTGAAATATTAAAATATGTACTATTTTAGCTTGAAATAAAATAGTTAAAAATTTAGTAGAAATCTTAAAGCTTATTTTGTCTGGTACATAATTGTATTATTTACACACATTGATGTATTAAACAATATGTATTGTCAGTAGGTAATAAATGATGTATCAAAATCATGATGAAATTCAGTTAATATGAAATAATTATAATAGTTCTGCCAATTGAGTTAACAATATTCAACTGTACAAGAAGTGTAGCAGATTATTACATATTAAGAGTAATGTATATTAAGAGTAACTGAATCAATTACTTCAAAATGAAGAAAGGAAATATTTCATACACAACAAGAGAAACTGCAAGCCTCCCTTTTTTAAAAAAATAAAATATTAAAACAAAATAAAGAAAAGGCAATATTTACAGAGAATATTGCTGTCATATGTTGAAAGTGAGTATGCCTTTTTAAATAGTTTATATACCAGTCTAAAACAGAAAAGAAAAAAATGGTAAAGCTTAGTGGGTAAGTGTGGGTATACTGGCGAAGTCTATTTATATTAACTTTTTACCCTCAAAAAAGTAACAGATGTTTCAACAATTTGAGAAAATGATCTCATTTTTTGTCAAATCTTAGCATGCATAAACACAATATAACTGAGAGAAAAAAAAACTAAATTTAGTAAATGACTAGTTCTTTATGAAGAGTTTTATTTTGTTACATCCATCTTTATTCGTTCTTAAACAGACCACCCAAAATAACTTTTGATCCAATGATTAAATTTTCATGTTCTAGGACTAAATCTTAATGGTTCGAGGGGGTAACTTAATTAATTAGCACATTTGCTAATTAACTAGAACAGACAACATTTTAAGTTATGAAATTAGACCCAAAAACGCACTTTTTAGAATAAACATATCTTTTTATTGACAGATTCAAATTTCTCACTAATGAATTTAGGGGATAGCAGAAATTTGATCCCTATAATTTGATCAGTAGAGGGGTCAAAAGCCGGGACCCCTTAATGTTACTGTTTTTTTTTTTTTTTTTTTTTTTNCTTTTTTTTTTTTTTTTTTGTTTGCAATATCTTGAGAACTTTTTAAAAATTTTGCCCACAATTATGAAATTTGTTCTCGCATGTAATTTAAAGATAATTCCAGGCAAGAAATAAATTTTAGTAAATATTCGTTATTTTTATTGTCTATTTAACAATAGTCGAAAAATTTTGAACTGTAAAGTATACCAGTTTTTGCATCATTTTAAATAAATAAATTTTAGCAAATATTCATTATTTTTATTATCTATTTAATAATAATCGAAAAATTTTGAATTGTAAAGTACATCTGTTTTTGCATCATTTTAAAGAATCAAGTCGGTCAAATAGTTCCTGAAAAATCGAACTTAAAATCTCTATGTTTAAATTTTGATTTCTCGGGATCTATTTGATAGATTTCGATAAAATTTCGTATTTTGCCATGTAAAATTACATTCTTTAAAATGATTTGTGGGCAAAAATTTCCAAATTTGCTTAAAAAGTTCTTGAGATATGGCAAAATATGCATAAAATAAGAATAACATAATAGGGTCCAAACTATGGACCGTTTTACCGACCAAACAATTAGGACCCTATTTTTGGTAAGAAATTCGAATTCATTGAAAAAAAGGTATGTCAATTCAGAGGAAGTACCTTTTTGTGTCTAATTTCGTAACTTTAGCCAGCACTAATTATTTAGCATATTTGAATCAATCTGTCTAACCATTAAGATTGAGTTTTAGAACATGAAAATCTGATCATAAGATCAAAAGTTATTCAGGGTGGTCCGTTTTTTTTTTTTTTTTTTTTTTTTTTTTTTTTTTTTTTTTTTNCATCAAAATATATCAATAATTCAATTCAAACTATTAATAAATAAGATTGTATCACTAAAATGCTTACCTCTTCTCTAGTCTGATGATGATGAAGTCTGTTAGAAAATGCATTAATGAAACCCATGTCGCTAGTTCTTCCAAACCTTTGTAAGTAAACCTGCATCATTTCTAATACCTATAAGAAGAAAAAATTATAAATGGTTTCATTGGTAATAATTATTTTAGTTTCATAAATATATAAAACACTAAAGATATCAGGAAGAAAAAAAAACATCAAATGAAAATTAAATTTTCTTTGTAAATTTCATTAGTTCCTATGGATTTCCTATTGTCTATTGTACACATGGTTTATCCTTTCTATAATAATACCGTCCCACTTTTTATAAGTTAAAAAATTACAGTAGATTGAATTGACCATAGGAAAATTTTTAAATCTAGATTAATAGGATAATAATTCCTATAATAAATTAATCCAGCAGAATATGTAAAAATCAATACAAAACCTTTTTAAAACGAATATCATATCAGTTGTAAATACAAAATAAACTTAAATTTGCTTTAACAAAAAAATATTCAGAAATTAAAAAGCTTAAATAGTGGAAGAGCATGCTTAGAACATAAGGAAACAAACTGATTAAAATATAATTTTTCCAACAAAAATTGTGCCATTTTAAGACTCTTAATTAATTACATTGACATTTTATACTCACATATCATCACAATATGTTTTATACTTATACAATTGAGTATACTAGTGAAAAATTCTTAAAGTGTTGACATATAAAAGATAAAGGATAGATTTTATGAAGAGCTTTGCAAATGCAAGTTTCTGAAGCTTAAAATTAAATCAACTGCAGTTAAGAAGAATTAAACTTAGAGTTCCATACAAGTAAGTAAAAAATTCTCAATTTGATGATTTTTTATTTTATTTTTTATAATGTAACTGGGGGTGAAAACTAAAATTTTGCATCAATATACAAATGCAGCAAAATGATTTACCTTAATAACTTCTGTCTTCAACTCATGTGAAGAGTATTCTGCATTTCGTTGAAGAAGCTGTAGTTTAGATTGGGCAAGATGAAATGGAGTGCGACCAGAATAATCTAAGGCATTGATATCAGTACCTAAAAAAATAACAAAGTTCAGACAAAAGAAAATACCCTAATATAACAAACATCCATTTTAAGCAATATTATTTTCATATGTAAAAAGCAAAATGATGGGTAATAACTGTTCGTATTTTGAGTTATTGAAAGACTATAAAAAGTTATGCATGGGGCTTGATTTATCACAAAGCCAGAGAGGTTCAGGCTTAAGGTTTCCTAAATGCTGTAAGTAATTTCTTCTTGTGATTTTCCTTAAGAATTGTCTATTAGAATTTGAGTAATCAAAGATTGAAATAAATACAAGCTCAAATTTACTAAAACATTGTAGTTTACTTATGTTATTAAATAATTTAAATACACTTCATCCTTGTTACTTAAACAATAAGTAAATTTTATTTAAAGTAGCGACTAATGGGCCCCTGACAGTTTTGTGCTTAGCACCCTCTCATTTCTAGATCAGGCTCAGGTTATGCATTCTTACGTCTTTCACGTTATATAGGTAATCATCAATCTAATACACAGTCAAAGATCTTAGCACTGCAAAATTTAAACCAGAGGCTTTGCATTTTATGGAATTTTGCGATATATAGATCAATATACATATCATTAAACTTTCCTTTTAAATATGGATACATTAGTCTAAAACAGATCAGTCTTAAAATACTTTTAAATAATTTTTAGATACAAATACTCATAAGCACAAAATATGCAATTAAGTATTTATTATTAGCAAAAATAAATAAATAAATAATAATAAAATCTGCTAATAATCAATTATTGTTAGCTTAGCTTTTGAAACTTCAATCTCTTAGCAAATATTTAAACAAATGATGCAAAAAGTTAACAGCTATTATCTGGTTATAAAAATTTCTAATTACTGTAAATTTCATTGTTAACTCCCACAAAGTCAATGTGGTTCATAAAAAATTGCAGTTTAATTGTGCTATTTGAGTCATTTTTATATTTGGGTAACATTTACTGTCAGTCTGAAAAGTATTGTTATTATTTTTTAAGAAGTTCTAAGAAACTTTCTAATTTTGTATTGACCCCTGTCAAAAAAATAAATAAATAATATCAAGCAAGCAAAATTTTAGTCACATGGGAATTGGTAACCAAATCTTTTCTACAAAAAAAAAAAATTTTAAGCATGCTTAAAAAAAAAAAAATAACTATCAGCCTTACATTTAAGCAAAATATAACTGACAATAATTGAACACTATTAAATAAAATTGAAAAATTAGTTATAACATTTAAACAATAATAAATATAGAAAGTAATATATAGCCACTTGACTCATAAGTGTAGCAATATTGTTTTTTAGTGCTTACATGTGCTTAATCTCTCTACATTCTCATCATTCAGTATTTATATTTTAGTAAACTGTTTCAAAATCTGAAAGTTAAAATGCATATACTAATCCAACAACGATAATAAAAATTTAGTTAATTGCATAATTTTTGGCTTCTGATGTGAAATACTTTTATTTCTAACTGTTTCTAACTGTTCTGTTAATAACTTATAAATAGAACAAAATTTTCATATCAGAAGTTCTACACATGCCTAAGCCCTAAATTTAATTATATCTGAAGATTTTTTTAAAATTTGACATATTTTAAAGTTTTAATCAAAAACAAAAGACAATTGTTTGTTTACTACTGACATAAAAAAATAAATAAATGTCAAAGTAAATTTACCTGCTCTAAGTAACAAAGTGACCATTCCAATTTGCGTAGTACAGGCGGCTGAAAAACAATTTCAGTTTTTAGATTAAATATTTAAGATACTACATGAATAAAATTATAAATCCAAGCAAATTAAAATAAAATTCAAAACTAAATTTAAATGCATTACCAATACATAATGCAATGCTGAAAGCTAAAAAATTTAGCTACTGTTCCAAGAGATCAGTAACTAAAAAGATTTCAAGCCATAACCACTTTTACTGGTACTTTTACCTTATTTGTTTTTTAACCATTTGTAATTTTCTTCATTTTGTCAGTGGTCCATTACCATAATGCTTTAATGCAATAATGCTGTTTGGCTGATGATGTTGTAGTCAATTAGGCTTTGTATTTTTCCTTACTCTATTTCGCATGCACAAAGAATTTAATCTTTTCCTCATGGATACATGTATTAAGCAGAAATGAACTGAAATTTCTCGTTCTGATTGCTGCAAAAACTGAATTAATGTATAATCTCTTTTTTATGTCTTGACAAAAACCACTTTTTTGCCAGAGAACCACTAATTATTTTTCGGTCATCCAAATCAGATTAAGTGTTCTCAGACCAACAAACCACCAATACTTATGACATTTTTTAATTTTATAATATAAAATAAGAAAAAAAAAATCGACTTTTTATAGTAAGAAAGATTTAAAACAACATTTTTTTTTCAAACTTGTAACTAGCAGAGCTTTAATCATAGTTTTTCTATTAGCATTAACATATTGTTTTTCATATTAAAAGCAACAAGAGATTAAAAAAAAGTTAACTTTAGAACTTTTATTCAAATTGAAATAGATAATGGATACTATTTGGCCATATGACATTTTTTTTTCTTTGTTAGCAAAACTTAATTTACTGCAACTTAAATAGGTCAAGGTAAATAACAACTTAAATAGGTTACTTTCAGAATTTCATAGAACAAATAGTTAAATTGCTTATCAACTTCAATAATCAAGGATCATTCTAGGTACAAAACAATAGATAATTTGAGAGAGATAAGAAACTTACAATATTTTATAGAATAGGAGCTACAACAGAATATTTACAGTAGTATTTAACTTATACATCAGGCACATTTAGGAGTTCTGCAAATGCATGGTTAGATTCTTTCAGAGAGAAAAAAAAATCAAAATGTAGACGATCATCATCATAGTTGGCCAGACAGCCCAATGTGAGCCAATGCCTTCATCTAAAGATTTCTCCGTAACGACTTCTGATTTATCTCTGATCTCCAATTCTTTTTATTAGTTGCAAGAAAATCAGATTCCACTGAGTCAGTCCATCTCAACTGCGGCCTTCCCCGCTTTCTTTCTTCCAGTGGGTCTAAAAATCAGTATCTTTTTTATTGTATTGTCATCACTCATTCGAATTACGTGGGCCATCCAATTCATTCTATTTGTTTTTATGTATCTAATAATATCAGGTTGTTTATAAATCTTGTACAGTTCAAAGTTAAATCTCCTTCTCTAGTTATTGTTTTCATGTACACCACCAATAATCTCTCAAAATCTTTCTTTTAAATATTGTGATACAATTTCCCTCCCATTCTGTCACTGTCCAAGCTTCAGAAGAGTATGTCAAGACTGGCTTGACAAAAGTTTTGTAGATTAAGAACTTTGTTCTTCTAGAAAGAAACCTAGATTTAATTAATCTTTTCAGCCCATAGACTATTTGGCTGATAGCTAGAGTTGTTTTTTTATTTCAGCAGTCATTCTGTTGTCAATGGTAATAATTGATCCTAAGTAACTAAAACTCCTTACTGTTTCAAATCTATAAGAATTTATTTCAAGATTGGGGTCTGAGACTCTGTTTCTTGAAAATAACATATATTTTGTTTTCTCTACATTTATGACTAAGACCATTTTTCTTGCAGCCACCTCTAAGGGCAAGAAATGCCTCTTTCAGGGCAGGAAGGGAACGAGCATTTACACCAACATCATCAGCATATGCAAGTAGTTGTACTGATCTAGTAAAATTATGACAACTGGTATTGATGTATGAATCACGAATAACTCTCTCTAGTGCAATATTAAAAAGAAGACAGGAGAGAGAATCTTAAAGAAGAAAGATTTAAAAATTTGCTACCATGAGTGAGACACCTCTGCAGACAAACTCAGGGACAAGTGCTTGCTGCTGATGATAAATGGTAAGCAACAAAAATAGAAAACAATTTTTAAAAAAGGATGGAATTGATTAGGAAAATCTTGTCCCTATACTAATTTAGCAAATAATTAATTCTGCCAAGGAAAAGATGAAGATAAAGTAGCATTTCTGTTTTTAACACTAACTCCTATTTGTCTGGAAAACATTACGGATTTCACTTTTTGAACTATTAGTTTTGATATTGAAAAGTCTAGTTTTTCTAATTTCTTTTCTAGTGAAAGTAATATTAAAAAAATTCAGAAGAGTTTTTTTAAATTGTGTTTTGGTCAAAATAGTATATTCTGAACAAAGAAAGAAAAAGTATCAGGAATATCAGGATATAATATTTTTTATCTGAGAAATCAGAAATATCAGGACAACCACAAACTCTGAGTATAACGTTCAAATAGCTATTAGCATGTCATGCATTTTGTAACTAAAAATAAACATAAGCATAAAAAAATCAGCTAACATCAATAACAAATAAGCTTTCTACATAAAAAGGATGAAATAAAAACTAACCAAGATGAAGTGGAGTGTTTCCAACAGAATCTTTTTGATTAGGATCAGCTCCTCTCTCAATTAAAAGCTTGGCTAAAAACGCAAACACAAATATCAGTCAAATAATTATTTTATTCGATTTATTATCATTTACATATTTTTTAAAATTTAATGGTACAAAATGTACTTTTCTGAAAATCAATATTTTGATAAAGCAAATAAAAAATTAATGAATGAGGAAAACAATAAAATCTGATGTATTTAAAAAATTTTACTAAATAATAACGAGCTTACAAAGTCACAACATCTCAATGTTAGAGATCAATACATTTTTCATTTATAAAAAATACATAAGTTTTAATTTTTGGACCTCAAAAAAAAAATGAGGAAGAAGTTAATTTATAAATTATTATTCACATTCACAAGAAATTTGAGCATCAGCAGTCAATTAAACTTATAAGCTACATGCAAATACAATAATCTATTGAACAGAATAAACTGTTAATAATAAATGAATAAAAAAAATTTAAAAATATATGTATAAAAAAATACAATTTATCTTTTTTCTTAACTATTTTATTTGTCTATACAAAAGTAAATTAAATAAAACAAGATTTATGCTCAATTTTATTTAACCTTGAAAACATATTTAGTGTTTATCCAAATCTCAAGAATTTTTAATTATCAGTACAACATTCTTAAGTAATCCGAAATTAATAACTATTTTTTAAATTTTGAGATGTGTTTTGATTAAACTTTACAGTAAGGCCTAATCAGTATATAAAAAATAATGTTCATTATTTGCAGCAAGACAGTTAATTTTTGAAAACCTAACACAGATAATAAACAAATTATTTTTAAATCTAAAGATTATTGCATAGTTTAGTAAAATTTTTTTATAATCTATTCTTCAATATATGCAATAAGAAATATTTGCAAATCAAAATTTTAATATAAACTCAAAAATATTTTGAAATTTATGCTAACTTTGATATTTTAATCCAACAAGCAGGAGCATTGGAATTTTAAAGGTGACTTAGTCAACTGGGCAAACTAACTAAAATAATAAGAATAGCAAAGAACAACTTTGACAAATTAAAGGTTTTGTTACAAATTTTATGCAAATAAAAATCACAATGAAAATAAAATACCAATTTCTATATGCCCGCCAGCAGCAGCATAGTGTAAAGCAGTTCTTTGTCTTCCATCAGCTCCACATGGATCAACATTATTGTCTAATAAATTTCTCACTGCAAAAATTAAATAGTTAGTATACCTATTTTATTTTGAATTTAATATTATTTGACTTAAAAATGACACAAAATTTTTAATTTAATGGAAAATAAATGAATAGGAAAAAAAAAAGATATATGTTTGCCAAATGTTGCCATCATAGAGAATATTGATGATAACATGGCACTATGCCATGTTAAGGAATAGTGTAAGAAACATCCAATATATACATGCGATAAACATTTAACAGAACAAGATATTTGATAAAAAAATTAAACAAATATTTGAGTTTATCAATATATAAATATATTAAACTAATGCTATTCAAGGCAAAAATATAAATTGCCACTAGCTTATTATTACAAAACATTACATTATTTTTTTTCCATTTTTCTCATAAAATACAAATACAATGTCAGGTAGGCTGTCACTTCAGGAAAGAATTTTTTTTTTCACTGAGTAGCTATATATATTTATTTTTGGAAAAAAAGAGAAGAAAGTTAAGAAAGCCATATTGATTGAATAAATAAAAACTAGTGGTATGAAGTTACAAGAGGTTGGCAAGGTTTTGTTCAAAACTACTATCAAATCAATTTGTCCAAAACTATCTTAAACTTATCTAAACCTTTCTTTTTACTAAGACTTTGGCAGCAGAATTAAAAGAGAATATTGTTAATATTTTGTTAAGCAAATAAAATAAGCACTGTTTAAAAGTTCACAAGCAAATAAACTAAATAAATAGACAACCAAAAAGAGAAAATATAATATACTTAGTTTAAACAACATTTTACAAATTTCTCACTAAAAAGAAAATAAAACTTTAATAAGGGATAAGAGCTAGTAGTAAAAACTTAAACATTTATAATTGGAGGAACTTAAAAAAAAAGAAGAAAATTTAAAATTTGGTTGCTTCAAATAATAAAATTGATCAGTAAGTGTATAATTATATATCAAGTTACAAGTACATTTGATACATTCACAAGTTTAGAAGGAATATTAATTAGTATACAGAAACCATTATCTCACCAATTTTGCATGGAAAAAAAACAAAAAACAAAAAGTTATTAGTGTTTTTTTAAGTTAATAAAAATATTTAAACAAACAAAAACATACCTGTTTCCAAAGCATTTGCACTAGCAGCAGCTCTTAACCTCCTTTCCCCTATGAAGAGAAAAAGGGGGAAAATTTCTTAAGTATTTAATAATGCTTGCAAGTTCATTTCAGATTAGATTTGAAAATTTCATGTAGAAAATTCATAAAATAAAATTAATATTTATTTTCAAACTCTTATCATAGTTCACAGCACAGTTGTGTACACATAATAGTGCTTACAATTCTTGTTGATAAGACTTGTCACAAAAACCTTTTGTTTTGAGTACAATAATTATTCTATTTCAAGAGTCTATCTGCGCACAAATAATTTTTTAATTAATGTTTTAATATTTAGAAAAAAAAATCAGAAATAATTAAAAGTTAGTAAATTAACAAAATTTTTTAATGATTCTTTGGCTTTGTTACTTCTTTATATCCCATATAAGTTATACATGCAACTGTTATTTTAATAATATCAATTCTACAGCAATAAACAATCTAAGGCTTATTTTTATAACAATTCAAATTTATTATTAATTTAAATATTCATAAATTGGTATATAATTTCGGTATTTAATGAACATTGATTATTTGTCTGACAACAGGGGTCTGTTCAAGCCAAATTTACTACCGTTTAGTGGTACCTTCACAAATTCAACTTTAGGAAAAACAGTAGTTTCACAAAATACTTTTTCCTAAAATTTCATTTTTGGGTCTCGTAACTATAAATCCATATTTTTGTGTTGATTTTTTTCAATATAATTTTTTATTTCCACAAATTATGTCTAAATTTTCACAAAATAGGTACCTCTCAGAAAAATCTAGACAGACCCCTGGACAAGTAATTAATGTTTATTAAATACAAAATATGACATATTTTAGAAACCTGCAATAAGTCAGTTAAAAAAAAAAAAAAAGAGTGATAAATGTTCAAAAAGTTTTTTTTATTTTAGTAGGGAACTTTAATGGCAAATAACTCTTTGTATATGTAAATATGAATGTTTCCAATAAAAGTAAGGTACTTTAAGTCACAGAAATTGCAAATTAATCAAACAATTAATTTAATTTTACAGACAATAAAGACTCTTATCTACAACTAAATTTTAAAAAAAAATTATCTAAATTTTATGTAGTAAAAACAGGAAACTGTTTAATTTTCCAGGTAATTTTACTGAGAAATATGCAAATATTTTCAGATAATATAATATACCTATATATTTTTAAAATATTTTCTATTTTCTTTGTTATACCTAAAAAATTTCTTGATACTAATTGTGATTTCCATTTCACATGACTTTTATGTTGCACTCTCATTTTACGAACTTGTTCCTGCTGTCGATAATCACTAAAACCATAGCTACAAGTAGCCTGATCTAATTCAGACATAGATGATTCCTGTAGATCTTTTATATTAAACATACCAGAAGGATGATATAAAGGATGAGGCTTTTCCACAAAGTCATTAATATCCTACCAATAAGAAAAATGGATTAGAATGCATCATAGATAGTTTAATTTTAAATGCAGTTGAAGATATCAAAATAAGAAATATTTGAAATAAAATTCTTGTTTGCTATTTTTTTAATTTTCCTTTAACTTCAAGTAATTTTCATAAACACTTGTTTGGTTTACTATTTAATCGTTACTAAAAGTATAATTAAACAATATTTAGCTATTGTAATTTTAAAAACTTTATAACACTCCCTTTACAAAACTAAATAATTTCTATTTTAATTTAAAACTCTTGATTTTCTGTTTGACAGTTCCAGATAGGGACCTCATTTAGACTTTAACTAGGGGCCCCTAAATTCTTAGCAACACTACTGATTACAGAAAGTGTCATTTTCTCATAGTGAGGAATGATAAGTGAAGGAATAAGAAAATGAGATTATTAGCTTAGTTTATAGCAATAAATAAAATTTAAATAACAAGATATAATCTTAAACTATCTCATACAAAACATTAAAACATTTATTAATGCAAGGGGGAAAAAAATAAGTTACAATAGTTTTATTCTCTAACAATGAGGGGATGATAAAGGAGCAAATGAGAAAATAAGCATTATTTGCTTTTGAAGTTTATATCCAAAAATAAAAGTAATATTATACATTTTTAAGCAATCCCATAAAAGAAAATTAAAATATTTTTGGCAAATAATAACATTTATTAATATATTTTAGGCAAATAATTTAACTTCACAAATTTAAATGAGGAAATAAGATTGTCCACTTAACACTCATCCAATTTTTTGTTTATTCATTTCTTTTTACACACAGAAGAATTTCTCCTAATTTGCTGAAATTTGTTTTGCAGTTTTATTAGAACAGGTGCACTATATTTACCCAAATAATAAAGCAAAAGATGTAATATTCTGAACCTTTATGAGCGAGGGTAATTTTTACAAAAATATATATTAGAGTAATGAAAACAAACCACAGAAAATGTGCATGAACTAGTAATGTCTTTTAGTTACTGGTTCGTTGTACTAACTGTAATTCCTAATGTATTTAGCCCAAATGGAAAAAATGAATGTACAAAATTGATTTCGATAATAACTACTTGTTATTACTATTATATGGAAACTTTATTTTAACATGAAAATCTTGTTTGACAAAATTTGCATGATGACATTTTGAATTAATAAAATAAAACCATATTTTATGTTTAGTTCATTCATAAATTTTAGTTATTATATATGTTCCGGTGAATTCTTTCGATAAATCGCGTAATGCATTTTAGACAAAGTATAAACAAAATCTAATTCGTAGTAAAAATTTGAAGTTAATAGATTTCATAATGAAAACTGGCAGTATATTTACCTTGTCATCATCTGAACGGGAAGGAGATCCAACTGACATGCAATTGCTTTCATTACTTTCACTTCCAGTATCAACACCTGAATCACTCTCTGTCATAATTAAATGCAAAAGCAATTACTTAAAGTTAGAGTTTAAACTTTCTTCTTTTGAGCAATGTTTGATTAAAAATATCAAGAATGGAGAATTTAATCGCCTAGGAAGAATTTATAAATAAAAACAAGATCGACAACAAGCAGACAGCAACAACTTCAACTTGGAAGAACGCTTAAGTCATGTTGCCAAACAATTATTAGTTGATTCAGAATAAATCTATTTTACACATTTTATTTAATAAATTTCAGTTAATATTAGTTTTCAGAAATATAATAAGAGTATTAAAATTTTCGAGAGAAATTATCATTTACTCTTCCCAGAAAAATTTATTTTTATTTTTTCCAAGAAATTTAAGTGACACCACCGCTGATTGGTTGAGATTCTCCACGCTGTAAAACCTAATTTTACCCTTTCGGAACTTCCTGTTTGGCAATGAATTGGATTCCAATTCATATTTTGTTGTCTTGTTGTCTTATCACCTAGTTGTCTGCTATTTGATCTTGCGAATTGTTCCGGTATAGATGTGTTGTTTACGTTTTCAGAAATTACTAATTATGTTAAACCAAAGCCATGTTTTATTCTTTGTGTTATAAGCATGCTAATTCTATCATTAACTTTATGCTCAAAATAGAGTATTTAAAATAATTTACATGCATCCGAATTAACATTTTACATCTTAAAAAATAATTATGTAAGTTAATATCCTTAAATAGTCATTGTAAAGATTTTTTAAAGTAATCGTAATCCACACGTTCATTGTGCCTGTATAGCCACTGCCATATATATATTTCCTAGCTAAAAGTTTTTTTTTAACAACTTTTTTTTCTTCTCTGTAGTTTCATCATGATTAGGAAACGGGCCTTGTTAAGCGACATATGTGAGATGAAACGGCGGAAACTTAATACATATGGAGAATCAAATTCTGTTAAAGGTGAAAATATTTTCATTAATTTTGCCTCAAGTATGATGATAGAAAACCTAATTTACTATTTTATCCTAAATTAGTTTTTTCAATTCTTGGAAGGTGTTTTTTGTCTAACATAATTTAAGATAAGTTAAAAATTAGAATTTCAAACTTTTAAATTCAAAGTAGGCAGAAATTTTATTGATTAACATGTGATGAAAGAAATTAATATTGTAAAAACCTGTTTTATTGTCCATCAACTAATGTTATTAATCATTCTAAGATATATAATGATTCAAATCGATGCCAAAAATTTATATATCATGTTTTTATTATATCAATACATGCAAGAGTATTTTTCGTTATAGTATTTGTCGTATTTCGCAAGAGTATTTTTCGTATCTTAGTTATTTAAAATCAAATATTATTTTACGCATTCATATTTTAAAGTTTTCTATATTCAGTTATTGTAGGAATGTACCTATTAACTGGTAAAACCATAATATGCTTTTTAATTTGAATATTTTTTCTAATCGTAGAGCTTTAAGTTTGTAATCCTATAGAAGCCACATTTATTTTCAATTTCAAAATCACACTTTTTTTTATAATTTTTAAAGCTTAAATGCATGTACCAATACTTTATACCTGTGAGCTACTAGTGACTTTAAAAATCTGTTTCATGGTACTTTTGCTTTTATCATATTAATACTCAAACAGTGATGTTTTCTATTAGTGTATAGTGTATAACTATGAAAAACTTAGTTATTAGAGCAGTTTAATATTTTTATTATCCTGCGTTCTCATATGTATGTTATACACCACACAAAGCTAACTTGTTTCTCAATAGAGTGTTACAAAACATATGTACATGAACTTGTTTCTGCTAAGTTTAGGTCC